AAAAACCCCGCTCCACCTCAATTTTTGATCATTTAAAATTAGGGTTTGTCATTTACTTACATGATATAATGTATGCAAAACGTCTTGATTTTAATCCAATTAAATTTAAAAAATATTTGGACTTTTAAATGATTCACTAATATTTAATTTGAGACACACTTTTAAAAATAATCTTCAAAAATAATTTTTTCATTTCCCTTTAAGTGCCCTCTAATTAATTAGTAATCAAATCCAATTAATTTTCATAATTTAATTAATATAAATCAAGTCATTTAAATAAATATCATAAATCCAATGCATGAATAATAATAATTAGCAATTATATATTCCATGCATTTCATATATCACATAAATAAATAAATAAAAGACTAAAGCAAATAAAATGGCCAATGAATTTAGCTTTTAACATTAAAATGCTATAATTATTGCACGAGGGTCTACCATAGGCTTGTGTGCACCTATAGGAGGCTGGCACCTGGCCCCACGGGCTATCGTACCCCCTACACGCATGGAGAAGTGAAACAGTGTGTGGCACGCGCTTCTATGTGCCTAGAAAGCGAGACAGTGCGTGCCCATGCGCTGGCACGCGTCTGGAGAATGAGGTAGCGTGTGTCATGCATTGCCACGCGCTAGCACATCCCTGGAGAGCGAGGCAGCGCGTGGTCCTGATGCATCAACTGGTTGGGTATGCTACATGCGCACCGCACTGGATTCCTATGCCCACTGATCTTCGATCCAATAGCTATGGATCCATGATCCCGGCGCATGGTACTCTGGTGTACCACGCCACACCAGATCCCGCGGTTTACCTCAGGCGCCGCATTTGCTGCCGGCAGCCCTCCGATCGCTAGAAATTGCAGATTCATTAAAAAAAGCCCCAAAAATTTTGGAAAAATTCTAAAAATTTTCAAAAAATTCCTAGAACATTATTTAACACTCTTGAACCTTTTTGAAGCTTCATAGTACCCATTGATAAAGATTATAGGGCTTTAAAATTAATTATAAATATGAAATACAATGAAAAATAAATAAATTACATCATTGAACTTTCAAATGGCTAAATCAAAGCTTTAATTACATTCATCCAAAGATAAAATTACATTTAACCTATAAACTTCATCCATAGCCCAAAAATACATCATTATCATCCATTCATAAATATACATACATCATCATCATGTATCAAAATATATCAATATATTAAACTATACATCAATATATACATATGCATATATAAATTGGATCCATGAATGATAATTTTCATAAAAAGCATGATCTCTATTCATGAATCAAACCAAGCTCTGATACCATTGTTAGGAAAATTGAAGTTTTAAAACTTTTTGAGGGATTTTTATACATGGATCTTGATTGATTGAACAGAGACAAGTTTTAGCAAAAAATAAGATGATGAATCATTCATTATTAGATTGAAAACTTATATCAAATGTTTGAGTAAATCTTCAATCTTTCCTCTAAAGTGAATGTTCTCACTTATTGTAGATCTCTTAACTAGATCCTTTCTTCTATAATCTCCTTCTTTTTGGTAGTGATCTTCTGTGATACCCCTCGGATCCGAGACACGGGTTGATTAAAGTATTTTAAAATGAACACAGAATATAGAAAGAATTAAGATTTTAAATAATCAAGCTGAAAGAATTATGAAATATAAAATCTTCCAAATAATGCTGAATAATAAAAATCCAAATCTCCAAAACCACCAAGAGGATAACTTGGGAATCCATCTAGTGGACCCCTAAACAAAATCCCATCTGAACTAAATACTGAAAATAAAACAAACTAGAACATCGAGAGAAACCCTACGTAAGCAGATGAATGAGAAACTGTCCTCGACAAGCACGATCAAGCTCTAAGGCTGGAACCGTCCTGTACCTGAAAAGAATAAAAGAGTGGGTCAGGCCCACGAACAAGTTCTAATCTAACTGCAATCTATACAATGACCCGATACGCAGATACACCTTAAATACCTCACAATATCTATTTAGTCCATAAGTATATATATATCCACACTAAGGGACATTCACTGAACTACAATAATGGTCTCAACCTGAATAGAAGGCAACATGTGAAAACGCACCCATAGGTGAGCATAAGCACCTAGACCTAACAGGGTACACCTCAACCTACCATAGCCAGCTACGCATCCACTGCATATACGCACCCTAACCAACGAGCCTGAGACTCAAGCTCATCTCGTAGTACCATAACCATATATCTAAAGTCCGTCCAAATCCAGAGTACGTCTTTCAATTATTCATCGAGCTGACATATTAAACACAGTCCAGTTAGTCACTCAACTTATTTAGTTGATCTGACTTAAAAATAATTTAGGATTCAATATTTTGCAATCCATTCCTTTTATCCGATAGGTCAGGTCTTAGCGTTTTGAGCTAAACCATCCCTAGTATGCCACCGTCCCATACCGGTGCATACAATCCTCCATATCCATGTAAATTACAACACATAAATAATAATTTAGTAATGTACAGTCCAAAACCAATATCCCAATAATTGCAGAAGAATGTCTAATATTATAGCAATTAAAATCTAAACGACAATTGCAGAAAGAGATTTAATATTTCAACAATTAACAACCAGAGCATGTATAGGTCAAAACCAATAAATAGATGACCCTATTATGCATTTAAAACAAGATTTATATTCATGCTATCATCCGATAAATTGTTAAAATTACATTAAACGGTCTAGTTCCTTCTATCCGTTAATAGTATGCTACATTGTATATTTTTATACTGTTCCATCCTTTAGTGTAGAGGCATAAACCATACAATCAGAGGTTTTAATAACTCTTAAAATTTAACTTAAAAACCCTAGTACACTCACAACACAGTTCAGGAAGCTTTAAAACCATCCAAACAACGCCCAAAAAGTTCAAAAAACATTCCCCGTGAGAGAGCCTGCTCTTAAACTTGTAGAGCAGGCTCCAAAAACAAAAGAGCAGGCTCCAAAACTTCTTAGAGCCGCCTCTATATGGGTAGAGCCAGCTCTACACCTCCTAGAGCCGGCTCTACACTTGGGGGGAGCCGGCTCCCTCCTCCATGGAGCCAGCTCTCTCCCTCTCTGAGAGCCGTCTGCAACTTCTGCAGCCTTCTGCTTCATCTCCGGCCGCTTCCAACCTATCTGATTGTTTTAAAAACTGAACCTAGAAATCCTAAATATGTCCAGTAGCATCCAAGTTCATTATTCAAACCAATTTGCATTACTAAACTCCTTTAACACTTACCGATTAAAACATGTTTAAATAACTAAATACTGTAACACAACTTGCAGAAACCATCACAAAACTAATTCAAATCTTACATATGATTAATTTGACATATAAAAAAGCATGCATGATTCAGTTATTAATCCATTAAAACCCTAGAGCATATCTAGGTGCACAGAACACAGGCCAACGGGAAAGAGGAAGAAAAGAACTTGCCTATGATTTCAGTTATGAAATCCCGGCGTCGTGTCCATGTTTCCGGCAACACTGAAATACTGCCTAGCCTCCTATTACTTCTACTCTTCCTTTCTCCTAGGTCCGACCTTTGAGCCGCAGTCGAAACCCCCACCGAACGTGCTCTATTCTCTCAAAACCTCACTCGGTTTCTCTCTGTAACTTTGATACGTGAATAGGGTTTTTCCAACCCTTGCTACAGACTATAACCGTGTATATATAGGCACAACTATAACCTAATTCTAATGGTAATCCAAGACAGAAACCCTAATCTAAGTTAAACCCTAGTCGGGCCATAGGATAAAACCCTCGTTATAACCTTTATCTGTTTCCACCTACGGGACTTCTAACAGAAACCCTAAAGAACTTATTAACGTAATTTAAAACTCATTTAACTTATTTTAACTTATTTTAATTTAAAACTCATTTAACTTATTTTAGCTTATTTTACATTACAGTTAATAATTACTAAATTAATCCAATTACACAATTCAATTGCCTGAAAAACCATAAATCAATTAAAAAACAATCAAACCAAATAAATGCAATTTAAACACATAATTAAACAATTAAATCAAATATCCTACTAAAACAATTAAACAATTAACAAATAAGCCAACTAGTCACACAAAAATACAATAAAAATAATAATGAAAGTACCGAAACTATCATTTTAAAATTAGGAGTATTACATCTTCCCTTTAAGAATCACTCATAAACCTTGATAAATGATCTTGGAAGTAAGGCTTGTGGGAGCCTCTTTTAGATGAGAAAGCTACCCTAAAAATCTAGGGAGAAAAAATAAATTTTTCTATTTTGCAAAGGCGTAACCTAAAATATACATGGACCCATATAAATATATGCAAAATAAAAATAAAAATTGAAGACAATATATTTTTCCCAATCTCTAAAATTCATATAATATCTCAAATCTAATGGGCCTGAAATATCAAGTTGGGTTATGGGTGAGAATCCTTTGGGCTTACTATTTTATTGGCTACTATGAATTAATAATTGGCCTGGTCTATTATACCATAGACCAAATTAAATTAATTTAAAAATCAATTTTTATTCCAATAAAAGAAATTAATTGAACTCCTATTAAATAGTAAATAACTTCTAAGTAAATGTTGTATTTTGATCCCTCTATACATAATTATTTATCGGATTATAGAGCCATGCATTAATTCGATTACATAATTAATATATTTATTTTGGTACCTTTGATTATTTCCGGCTTGATCACAATAAAAATTTGTTTAACAAAAATAATAATTTAGTAAATAAATATATAGAAAACATTTTGTCTAAAACATACGAAAGCATTCGAATTTACTTTATGATCAAGTATAATCAATACAAAATAAATACAAGTAGTAAGATACAAATATTGAGAATATAACACTCTAACTATTAAGAGCATCTCCAATCCAATGTTATTTGGATTGCTATTTTTAAAATATAGCAGGTGAGCTTCAAAATGGGCTCTCTAATGCAATGTTAGTTGGGGCTGTCAATTTTTGCCTTCGCCAATTTGGCAGAAGAAATAGCTATTGCTATTTCTCTTGGGCTAGACAAATTGAAGGGGCCGGCTCCTCTTTTGCTAGGGCGACAGAGATAGAGAAGAGAACGGCGGCAAGGGGTGACCAATGAACCAGAAACTACGGTGCCATCTCCCACCTCTCTGGCCTACTCTGCTGTTTGTAGTCCACCTCTCTCTCTATACTGTACTGCTTTTCAATGTGGGCCTTGCTTTTCCCATCCATTCTCATGGCTGATCTGATCGGTATCTTGTTGGGGACTCTCTGAAGTCTGTGAATGAGAAATCTTTAGGTAAGAAATAAATTAAACAAAATCCCAATTTTTTATTCTATTCTTTTGCTTTCCTATGAGGCCATTATGTTTTGTTGGATCTCCATAATTGAGTCAACTTTAATCTTTAATTTCCCATTAAATATTTCTCAAATGTATCTATTTTATTGTGTTTTCATGTATATCACACTCACAAACACAAACCCTTTTCATCTTTTACACTTTCCACAAAAGGGTAATTGTAGTTGAAAAGTTTGAAACATTTTTTTGGAGTTATACAAGAATTATATGCAACTCTGGTGTTCATCTCTTTGTAGATGTACTCTTCTTTTTGTGTTGATGATTGGGGAATAATGATCTTTGAAGTTTCTTGAAGTACCAGAAAGTGACATTTTACAGTTGTGTAGATGATTGATGAAAAAGGGGAAAAAAATGATAGAAAACACAGCACATGCCATGTCTTCACTAGCTGCATTCTTTTATTCATCTTTTTGTCTTCATTCTGATCTGCTTCTTATTGGTCTCCTAGTGTGGTTGAGTGGATTGATGCAATGCACATGCTTGTTACAGGCCATGGTGTGATGATCACTGTGTGTATTTTTATGGTAGCTCTGTGATAATTCAACCTTCATGCTATGAGAGTTAATGGGTGAATCATTAGTAGAACCATCGAATGTTAAAGATAACTTTAATCTTTTTGTCCTTTGATCAGTTAAATGTTATCCATATGTTTAATTTGTTTCATCTAATTGTATTTTGAAATTGTCTCCCTTTTTTGTTTTTTATTTATTTTTAGTTCCATCTCATAATTGCAAAGTTCCTATACTGTTTGTTGTTATTTCATTCTGTTTCTTGCTTGAAAATTTGCCTAGAAATTGGATTTTGTGTTATATAAACAGATGGGTGAGTCAGTTGCCTCTTATATGTTGTTAACCAAATTGCATATATGAATAGTTTTTAATTTTTTTATTCAACTACAATTTGCCAAAGCTGTTGTGACTAGTGAGAGGCACTCTCCACAGATTAAAAATAAATAAATAAATTTACTATTAAATTACTTTTAGGTATTATTATTTCTGAAATTCCTGACTTATGACATCTTTTGATGATTTTGCATAGGACATATGGATGTGAGTGGATTCTGATGTTGAAAAATTGATCAAGAATCAGAAAGCGGTGGCCTTTTGTGCAGCTCGAGCCAAAGCAATGAACTAACGGATTTGAGTGGGATCTGATTTTGGAAAATAGTGGCCTCCAGTTGTTGGAGTTGCCATTTAGCTCTACGATCAGGTATGCAATTTTTCTAGCAGCTTTCTAAAACATATGCAGACAATACCAGAATCATTTTTTTGTGAATATATACTGGCACTATAAAAAGGGCAATATAATAATTGTCTCAGCATTTTTTTTTTCCTGGGTAAATGTCTCAGTATTTTTAGGTAATCATTTTGCAAATTTTCGACTGATGGCATTTACTGTAAATGATATTTATCAGGGAATAACAAGACTTCCATTTAATCCTAAAATAAATCTCGTACTATCAATAATGAAAATGGCTTCCAATTATTTATTTATTTTCATGGCTTTATTGATGATGAATTTGAAAAACTAGGTTGAAGACATTGGACCTTCCAAATCTTGTGGTCACAGAAAATTGCTATTCTTGATTGCCAATTTGTTTTGTTTAACCATAGTGTCAAAGAGATTAATCTTTTACATAATGCTTAGCTTATGAAATTGGCCACCAAATTTACTGACTACCCACGACATTGACTGCTTTGATTTGGCATATGCTTAGGTTTAATTTTAGGTTTAATATTGATAACTATCAATGGAAGTCTCTCAATCATCAACCAAGCGGGGAAAGGCATTCACGCCAGATCAAGATATAGCAACTTGCAATGCTTGGTTGAGCATCACCCAAGATCCAATTGTTGGTAACTCGCAATCACAAAGTAAGTTTTGGAACCGGGTATTCCAAAATTATCTTGATCATAACAACGACGAAAATGGTAGAACACAAGTTTCTATCCAATCTCGTTGGGGCATAATCATAAAGTGTTGCAGTAAATATAGTGGGTGCCAAGGAAAAAAAGAAAGAAGAAAAGATTATGATGATGGACCTTTCCAACATGGACCCTCAAGCGAAAGTTTATTACCAGCTGCGCAAGAATGAGATTCTTGCCAAACTACAAGCACGCTCAACAAACTTTGATTATTATGTTCCTTTTCCCCCATGTCCACCATGAAGGACAGGTAAAGTTTAGCACTTTCTAGGAATATGCTATTTTGGTTTGTTCCTCGTATAAAGTTTAGCAGTTTCTAGAAATATGCTATTTTGGTTTGTCCCCTATATGAAGTTTAGGACTATTTTGCAATATGTTATTTTGCTTTGTTCCCTGTATAAAGTAGTATGTTTGACAATGAAAGTAAAGGCAATGGACTGTGTTGTCGAAACTTTTTTTTGTTGTACTTCATGAAAGCATCTATTTTCATAATTTGGTTTGTTCTAGCAATATGTTTTTTTTTTTTTTGAAACAGAATCTCCATTGCAATAAACAAGCCAAATATTTTAATTTTTTGCAATAAGGCAAACACGCCAAATATTTTTATTTATTTTTAATAAGGCAAACAAGCGAAATAAAATACAAACACTTAGAAAAAATAAAATAAAATAAAATAAAATAAAATAAAAAACAAACAAACAAACTCACTTGTACAGTATCTAGTGTACAAAGCACACATACTAATAAATCAAGGATCCAAACAAAAGACAGCTGAAACATACTTCTTCAAATCTGTCCTTGTCGTGCCCACAAATGTTTAATTCCCAAAAAAAAAAATTAAAAATATATGTATCATTTTGTTTTATCTCTCTTTTTTTCTTTTTTTCGTTTTTGGTCCTTTTTTGACTAGATATTTTAGATTTTTGATTCTTTTTAATTAAGTTTAATTTTAGTTTCCTTCTACTATCTACAATTTGACTTGGAATGTGCCTAATATTAACATTACTGATGCAAATATGAATGGCGGGAATGGTAGTTGAAAAAGAATAGTGGTTGTGTTAAAAAATAGCATTTTCATCATTGGAGCAGAATTACTAAAATGTAGCATTTTGACACTGTAACACTGTCAAAATATAGATTTGGCATCCGAATTTAACATTTTTGCATTGGAGATGCTCTAATTACATAACTACCTAAAGTATCGGTCTTTGAATTCCGAAGTATCCGCCGAACAAATCAAAGTAATTATTAATTAATAAAATAGTCTATATTTCTCTCATGCTTAAGCGTCAAAAGCCATGACAGTGATAGAGAACAATTGCATACGACGACTCTCGCAATATATCTCAACCTATCATGGATTCGGTTCAAATCTTAGTTAATTAAATGTCCATCCATAATTACCAAGTTTGAACTATTTATGATTACTATTTATAACCTTGTATTAATTGTCATCACATATATATAAAAAAATATATCTTGTAATCAAGTGGACACAATCAATTTTATAATGAATCAAAATCAATTCCATAATGAATCAAAAAATAATAATATATTACATTCACCAAATTATATAATGCATAAATAATAATATTCCGATAAAGAACATTGACTTTTACGATCCAAACAAGAATTTAATATGCTAGAGCACACAAATTCCAACACATGTAATATATGTTTGTCTCCATTTAGGATTATTTGTGATCCAGTTGGAACAGAGACAGCGAAATATAACAAATGAAGAAGCTAGCTAGCAAGGTGAAAATGTTAAGGAATAGAGATAATGGCATTACGATAGGCGCTTTTGTTGTAAAACTTAGGTGCTGTTTAATAAAACTGAAAATTAAGCACTGAAAATTTCAAGTACTGAATTTTAAGCGCTGAAACTTTAAGCACTAAATGTATTAATTTAAAAACCTGTTTGACAACGTCTTAATTTTAAGTGCTGAATTCATTAGAATTGTTTGTTATATACAAAAACTGAAGTCTAAAAGTTGTACATATTACATTTTTGCCCTTAATATATGATACTCATAACAATTTTATTTTTATAATACAAAAATATTAATAAAACAACCACATTCACTCAATGAAATATATCAATTTAACAATAAATATTAATGTCAAATATAATCTTAAAAAAATATAAATTCAAACTTAAATAATTAACATTATTCAAGCAGTACTCATTAAAAATGTGAATGTCTCAAAAATGTTACATTAAACTAAACATATAAAATTTTAAATTCGAGAACTAAACAAGTCATTTGCAATTTGGTTATGCAAATTAACCATAAACACTTGATCGGATTGCCTTTCTGTGGTGTGAATTTCAGATAATGTCAAATATAAATATTATCCTAATCATAAGCATATATATGTATACAAATATAAATCAACAAATATATCTGCGCGCAAGCCGTCTGTGAGAGTGGAGACTGCAACTACAATCAACTGTCGGTAGAGACCAACCTCATATGTATCAATGCAATTATGCAACCCTAATTCATAAAGAGTACGTTGCTACCAAAAAACCCACAATTCTTAGAGAACCTCATGCAATTGTCAAGAGTTCAGTTCCAATTATTTCCAAGACACGAAATATGCAACTTTAAACAATAATTATTGAAAGAGAAGTAGTTTAACATTTGATCAGATGTGATACTGAATTTCATCTCCAAAACATGGATTTCTGAGTACTAGGCAAAGGTCAAAAAACACAACTTATAAGTAAATTCATATTAATAAATTAGATACTATTATTAATTTCGTTATCTATAATCGATCTATAATATTCTTTAACCATGACAACTTTGGTATCAAACGCGACAGCGAGACGTCGATGTATCGGAGGGGCGATCCTACAGAAAACAATAAACGCCTGATATTAGAGTTGTGCCTATCAAAAATAAATAAATAAATAAAATATATATATATGTGTGTGTGTGCGTGTGTGTGAACAAAATATCAGTGGGTTCACGCAATTGACCCCACATAACACGAGTGTACCAATAGCAGTACCTCATATTGATTTCTGAATACTAGGCAATGTCATATTCATGGAGTAAAAAACCCAAAATCAAAAAGAAAAAAGCAGCATGTACTCTCACTCTCACCCTTTTGGAGGAAAAAGAAAATAAAAGAAAGGAAATGAGACGAGAGTGTCAAGGGTAAAGTGTAAAAAAATTTTCCTCAATTATGTTTGATTTTGCAAATAACCCCCTTAAATTATAATTTGTGCATAAAACTTCCTAAACTATTTCATTTTGTTGCACCATACCCTAAAGACTATACTATATTTCATTAAATGACCATAATGCCCCTTCTTATTGAATTATATTTAATATATTTTTCTTATTTAAATAAATTATGAAAAAATTCAAACTAATTTGATGAGATATTTTTCATTAAATTTGCAAAAATTTACCTTTATTTTTTTTAATGAATTATTTAAATAAAAAAATTTAGTAGAAATTTTTAAAATTTTTAATGAATTTATTACATGAAAATAAGGTATTTTTTTTAAAAGTATTTTATTAATTTTTCATCAATATATTGTATGAAAAATATGATATTTTTTTATGATAAAAATGTTTAAATTGGTTATAATACGTTTTATTATAAGTAATAAAGTTTTAACAATAAATTAATCAATTTAGAAAATGATAGTTACAAATCTATTTATCTATTTTTTTTTCATTTTTATGATAAATTGATACTCAAAATAAAACTAAGGTAAATAGTATAATTAATATTTGCATAAGAGAAAAGATAATAAAAATAATTTAATAAGAAATGAAAATTTTAATGAAAAAAGGTAAAATAGTTTTTTGTGATAGATTTGTCCTTAATTGCAACAAATCAATAGTTTAGGTTGGTGGTTTTTAGGTCAGGGAGTTATTTACAAAAGGGCAATAGTTTAGGGGGATTTTTTGATGTTAATTATTTGTTGTGTTTAGTTGATTAATAAAGGGAAAGAAAAGAAATGATAGGAATAGGGAAAGAAAGGAAAGAAAATTTATTTATATTTTCTTAATAAAATAAGGCCAATCTGAAATTTAAATCCCTACTTCACATGGTACACATACACAAAGCATTATATTATAATTAATTTTCATTCATTGTTGCTCATTAACTCAGAGCATGGATTGAATTTTAGTGGGCTTTATATCATATGAATCTTCCACACCACCCTGAGTCATTTTGTGAAGCTCATGCTGACTGGTGGTGGCAAGCATATTGGTACCACAATCCCATCCTCTCCTTCACAGTTTTTGAATGGAGCATAAAAGCTAAACAAAAAAAGGGCTCCGGCAGGGCCACCATATACGGGCTTTCCCCACCCAAAATTGAGTTTATCGAACCCAGCTCGTCTATGATCCGAAACCATATAGTTCCCACCCACCGTATACAAGGGTCTTCCCTTGATCACCATAAAGGTCTGCCACTGACCTTATGTACTCTTCACTCATCTGACCCTCTGTACTCTTTACCAACTCCACAGCATACTTTAATGGCTTTCTGCATAGCATTTCCGAGGTTGAAAGTGCTGCTGGGTACACAAGTGTATTGCCATAGAAACCGGGAGCTATACGAATACCCTTATTAACAACACGCGCAGTGACAATGCAAGAAACGCAAACAATCTCATCAGGATCTACTTCAAGTGCAATTGTGCGACATCTCCATAAACATGCCGTTATTACCTCAAATATTGAGCAACTACCTAGGATTGGAGGTATTTGTTTCCGGAGGGCTATTAATTCTTCATGTCCGAAAAAGAAAGACCTCTGGATCAAGTTGTTGTTGTTGTCCATGGCCATTGATGTGTCTCTTACTTCTTCGTATTCGTGATGTGGGCATGTTATGCCGGAGGGTTTCTTGCGTTGAACACTTCCCTTTCCCACACAGGAGTCACAGAAGGTGCATTTGGTTCACCTCGTGCAAACGCACCCATTGTGCTGAGAAATTGGAACAAACCAGCTGCATCACACATTGTGTGATTTAGGCGCAGTGCCAACACAAATCCACCTCAAACAAAACGAGTCACCTGCGCATGCACCCATTAATTATTTGAGAGAGACTAATTTAATTTAATGCTCCTGTGTATTACTAGTAGTAGTTAGGGCTGCATCTTGGGCGGGTTTGAAGTATAATTGGAGTTCAACTCACCATATGAAATATTAAATCCAAGCCCAATCTTAACCCTATTCTCAACCCTAATTACTCAACCCGAACCCAACCCATCCTCTACTTTTAAATTCAAGCTTACAACTCGGGTTTAGATTCCGGATTAAAACTTCGAGTTCATTCGAGTTACTCATATAACTATTTTTCATACAGAAAATTTAATATGATCTTAAATTAGTTTTAGATTAAATTATTCTTTAACAAAAAAAAGTTTAAAGACTTTTTGTAGATTTTTAATAAATTATAAACAAAATATTAGAAAATTAATTGTGGTAAGTGTTAACATGCAATAAGTTAAGATTTAAGTGGTGAAGTTGAAAAAAAAAAGAAGTAACCATAGTTTAAATATTATATATAATGTGTATATATATATATATATATATATATATATATATATATATGATAGTAACAGAAGTTATGATGCAAGGTAGGTTGAACACACCTGAATCAACAACAAAGGGCAACCGATGATTCCATCAGAGCCAGGGACATTGTACAAAAGCTGGTCCAAGTAAGGAGAGGGTGGCTGAAGCATGTCGTGGTGGAGCCCAACATTTGCATCAGCCTCTGTGGAGTAATCCAACATGAGTTTTCGGTTGGAGGCTTCAAAAAGCCTACCAGCAAATGGGTAGTAAAAAACAAGTGTCTTAGCCAGTGCTTCTCTGATCACCCTCACAGGGTCCTTTCCTTCCATGGAAGGACCTTTTTTTGTAGAACATTATGACGGGGGCTTGAAAGCGAAGACCTTTCTGGTCATGTATGTCTGAGAGCTGCTTTATTTCATTGGGTGTGGACATTGCAGGCACTACAAGTTCAGCCTCATGCCTTACCATAGTGGATGGACATGCCATTAATTCCAAGGAAATGCCATGAAGAAAGTAAAAGAAAGGAGATTTAGTCAGTCTTAGACTCGATGGTGTGTTTTTTTATGTGAAAAATGAAATGGTATTTATAGGTTGCGTCAATTGAGCATATTGTTGGATCGTCGTCTGCCCTTTTTTATCCTATGGTGGTTAACAGGACACGTCTCCAGAAATAAATGCACAGTACTCTACTTTAGTACAGATCAAGGAATTCTATGTAATCTTGGTCACACGTTTTAAGTCGGATTTTTTTTTTTGTTGACCCAACTCTGACCACTCACACAAATTTTTAAGCCACTTAATTGGGACTCAAATCTCATCGCATCATCTTAAACTTAGGTGTCACTCGGTGTTTGTAACTTTTTTTCAAAGAATAGATATCATTAAACACTTTCATGAATCGGTTGATTCGATCGATTTACATCGATATTTGACCGCGGCCGTTATCGCGACTTCAAACCATGGGTAGAATTTATGCATATTACACTAATGACTAAGTTCTGGCCTGTTGTTTCCATATATAAACATTTTTATTCTGTAATTAAAGTTACTAAGTGAATATTTGTCAATTTTATGAGTGAATGGTCCCCTTTATATACAGAACAGGGTGCAGACTTCAAACAAAGCTTCACTGACGCCGATTTTGGCAAATTATTTGGGGATGACGTGCTTGATTTATTTAGATTTGTACAAGATTATCAAGTGATAAAAACTTGGATGAATTTCAAGTTCATCCAATTGCTTAATTGCTTAATTATAGGTTTAGTTATTTTAAAATTCTATAAATAATTGTAAAAGACTTTGTGCATGCACCATACAATCAAACGCATCAATAGATTTTCATTCTAAATCATATTTTCCTAGTTTAATTCATTCTCAATTTAATTTGATTTTCTTTAGTTATTTATTCTAGTTTAGTTTGCTTAGATAACTGAACTTCCTTTTGTCTATATTCTTTCCTACACTTCATTTCTTATTCTCCATTATTTCCTTACAATTCCCAGTAGCTACGATAGCTTCCATTTTAATTTTAATTTCTATTTCAATTTAAATCGCTGTGTTATTGCAATTTGCTTTTGCTTTAAAGTCATGTTTTAATTAAGGCAAATTGAACCTGAGTGTTTCATGTTGTCTCATGTTCCATTATTTTCACAAAAAAGAAACTCATCTCTCCCAATCAAATCAAGCCCATTGGTTTTAACATGCCCAGGCCCATTGGTTCTGACACGCCCACGCTAACCAATTTCTAAATTGACAGGCCTCTGCTAATTTAAGGGTCAACATTTTGGCACCCTCGGTGGGACCCACTGGGGCGAGCGAATTGCAAGAATTCTAAAGGTGTCGTCTCTACTGAAGACGATAATGATGAAGAGAATCAGCCGATTCCTATGGGTGGATCCGCTGATTGTGTATCGACTATGCATGACCTCCCATTAGTACAGATCATGGATATGATGACATGAATAGAGCGTAAAATGGATGTCCAAGCCTCCATGCTCAACACACATAAAGTTGATGTGCAAGCACAGATCAGCAAAAACAATAACAAGATGAAGGCCGAGTTACATGCGTAACTCAGCGAAGAACATAATCACAACATGGATACTGTGATGGCCCAAATATCGGCTCCTCAGAATCGGCAGATGCAGGCTGGAAATTCCACTGCTTATGAATCGGTTTCTCGGCGGATTTCAATACCTTTGGCGACAGTTTCTCCCCCCAACCGGCATTGGTGATTTCAACTTAGCTGGATCAGCAAGCAGACTTACCAGCAAACCTGCAGCCGATCTGGATAGAGAATCAGCAGCAGTGATATCCGCATATCAGCCTCCTGCATTATATCGGTAAATTCAAAATCAGCAGGTAGCTTCTGAAGAATTCTTTGACTAGGGGCAGGGGGCAATCAGCCAGAAAATTGTCAGCTACCCTCTGTCGATTATCGGCATATGGTAAATGAGCCGCCAGCAGCAGATTATCGGCATGTGGTAAATCAACCATACACTCTTATATATCAACCACTAGTACTTGGAAGGCAGTCGATGGCAAACCAGCAACAAGGTTAGCCGGATTGCAATCAAACATATGGTTGGCTAGAATATTCACCACATTCAACTATTTAGAATTTTCAGCAGATACCTACAGTGCATCAGCCATCGCATCAACTTTATGTCCATCGACCATGGTCACAGATTGCACCAGAAAACCTTCTCGGAGAAGAACCTCCAGACCCGGGGCAGTGATATTGGATGGGGACATTCAAGTCCAGTAATTACTCCAATACCGTCACCTTCTGAAAAGTGAGGGGCAACCGATAGCCAATACTGAAATCGGCAAACTTGTCTATATCGGCAAAAAAGTTTAGCAGAATATCAGCCAGATGTGGCTATTGAACTTGATCAGCAGCAAAGTTGGGCAGAATATCAGTAACTATCGTTAAAAAATCAGCAATATACTAAAATCGGTCAGCCTTGCCGATTTAATGGGCGGACAAATCAACCAGCAGAGGAAAATTAATGGGAACAAGTGGTCGATTACCAAGAAATTCTGCTGGAATATCAGTAGAAAACTTTGATACTCGGGTCGGGGGGCAGCTAATGGCAGCTGCTGACCAGCCCAACTAGCCAATGTTAATGGACAGAGCCATAGGTAACAATCAGATATCTACCGTATCAGCTGAAAAGGGAATGGCTGATAATAAGAAAAGGGTAATCGGCGACAACAGTCTAAAATTCCCTGAAAAGCAACTGAAAATCAGAACAAATAAAAGTGTGATCAACCTTGTTCTTAGATAAAAGGTTGATCTTGGTAATGAAGAGAAGTAGCCCAATGTTGTTTAAAGTACGCCATCAGCCATTCAAGTCAAGGAGATAAAGCAGCTGAGAGGAACCAACTTGCTCTCATTCAACATGGTTGCTGCCCCGAATGAAATGGTACAAATCAGCTAAAAGAAAATCGGCTAAGAGCTAATTGGCTGAAAGAAAATTGGCAAATGTACTAGAAATGCTTGGCCCATTGTGATATCTAATGAACAATCATCGGCTGAAATAATTGTTCTAGCTTGCTACCCTAAAAAAAAAAAAAAGACGGCAATGGAAAAATATTAAGGTGATGATAAGATCACGAAAGAGAGAGAATCGGTCATCGAATGCAAAATTTTATGCGGCTAATACAACACTATATGGCAAGAATCGAATGTTGCTAAGGTTCATCGACAAAGATATAGTGGGTCTGCCGATATCAGCTGCCATGAAAAGAAGTTTAGCTGATGTTGAAGAGTTACTCAGGCAAGTATCTCGGTTAAGGATGGAACCTACTCAGCTAGTTGCTGATGAAACCCATTTTAATTTCTTTAAGCCTGATTGGATCAAGATGGAATCAGCTGCGAGATCAAATCGGCAGAGGGAAAATCGGTCATCAAAGAAATTTTGTTTTTTTCGGCTGATATGGCCAAAATTATTGAGGAACACCAAAATTCAAAAAGATCAGCTGAGAAAACTCTTTATTGGTGCAACATCGTTCTTTTGGCAAAGATAATAGTCAGATCGGCTAATATAAAGCTTCACAATAATTTAATTCCATCCGATTTTGATTATGCTTTGTCAGTAGAGTGGGAAAACATTGGGGGCAAGTACTTCATAGGTTCTTATGGGCAGCCGATATTGACCAACTTTTTGAGAAGTTAAGAAGAAGCGGGATCCGCAGATTTGGCTAATATGAAATAAAAATCATCTTAGAGGTGATTCAGAATAAATGAAGTTATGGAGCTCATTGATTTGTCATCTTATTCAAAGTGATTAGCTCAGTCATGGTTCAAAATATCATTCCAAGGTACTTTAAATTTCAAATATCTGATCGGATTAGGCGACCAACAGCCGATTATCAAATTAGGCGACCAACATCCGATAAGACATTTAAAATTAGGGGCATTGTTGACACCCATTTTGGTAAATTATGTGGCGATGACATGACAGGTATTTAAATGGTGATGCGCCGCTATTTGATTGATGATACTTGGGTGGAAAGGATAATGATATAAACCAAAGTTTGAGGATAAAGCTTGAGTTTTTTAGATTTGGATAAGATTATGAAGTAATAACATCTTGGATGAGTTTCAAGATGATCTAATTACTTAAGGACAATACCTCACTAGTGAGGATCTACACCATCCTCACTGTTGATGTGAACCAATAATAACTTGACTATAGATGTTAATCAAATCACCATCTATGATTTGGTAAGTGGATATCTACCCCCACAGTATTGAATTTGGTAATTAAAGATAAAATGTTCATTTATTATTGGTTCACATCAACAGTAAGGATGGTGTAAATCCTCATTAGTGAGGACCTAAGTAATATTCATTACTTAATCATAGATTTAGTTATTTTGAAATTCTATAAATAATTGTAAAAGCCTCCATGTAAGAGGTCCAACACCTCACAATCAAACGCATTAATAGATTTTCATTCTAAATCATGCTTTTCTAGTTTAAGTCATTCTCAATTTTCCAGTTTAGTTTAACTTTCTTTAGTTATTTATTCTAGTTTAGTTTCCTTAGTTAATTGAACTTCATTTTGTCTATATTCTTTCCTACACATGATTTTTGAGGGTTCTGTAACAATAATTAGAATTGTTAAATCAATTGCAAAATGTTATTTTTGGTCTTCTCGCCCAGGCTTGAGCATACAGTGGATATCTCAAAAGGGTAAGATGGGTATTTACAATAATTTCAAGACTCACATGATATAAACATGAACCAATTTCCGTCTATTTTCCAAGGGGACATTTTGCAATGAAGCTTGATACTACTAAAACTAGGTTTGGGTGCCTTCATTGGACTTTCTACAAACAGAGTCACCTCAGTGTCTATTATTTTATTTCTATCTTAAACTAAGTCGTAAAAAATCCTGAGTTTGTTTTTGAACACTCCATAAATTCCAAATGACATATGCAACATTTCCAAATATAAGCTAAGCTAAGCACTTAAAATTACAACACATCTTCCTACTAATCTCAGACAATGCAATGCTATTAACTAAACGAAGCTAAGCACTTCAAAGATGACAACATACCAGTCTCATCTTGGATTTCCTCGTCTCAAATCTACTCTTGTATCTTCTCTGAGTTGGTTTCTCATACATCGCAAACTAACTTCAAAATCCTTGACCAATTTGATGTGGAAGTATTCCCAATCTCGTTACTTGGTATAATCCCACATCTGCTCAAAGCTTATATGTTAGTTCTACATCATTCTTTTGTACCTAAAAGCCAGTCATTATTGAACTACAATTAGGTTCAGTAACGTGCCAATTTAAATGTCAAACACTATATATCGTCTGAGTTGCATGGTTTCTAACATAACATTATTGGAAACGGAAATTTACAAAACATAGACAGACACAACTTATTTGTCAAATTTGATAGCAAAAGAACATTAAGGCATTATAAACAAAAAAGCATCCAAATGAAGGGAATGAGCCCGATTAAAGGTTTTCAAAAGCTAAAACAATCCTAATCCAAATGGTGATCTGCACACAAACACATGCGTGTGCATCACACACATGAATCTGTTATTGTGTTCATATGTTCAACAGAAAAAAAGCCAGAACATAACTATAAGTATGAATCCAATCATCATATACAATTTGAGGAACAATATAACTACCAAAAAAATGATCAGTTGAAGAAAAATATTTAAAATTCCAACAAAATATCATACAGAAATATGAACAATCCACAGAACTGGAACCTTCACTCAATTCTACCATAACAAACCCCAAAAGGAGATACCCGTGCCAAGTAACAAAGAAATTGGCACAGTTTTCACCAAGGAAAGCACATAAAATACTTGAACACATCTATTAACTGAATGTAACACAAAATCCAACTTTTAACTAATAATTCAGATTAAGTTGCTGCAAGGTAAATCTGTATAATTCACCACTAATGGAATTAATTCCATATGAAGAAGTTTCCAAAAACCACTCAGGTAACATGATTCCTGAACTGCTGCAGCCAAATTATATGCATAATAACAGGATCTTCACATATTTTCTTGACCAAGACATATCTAATGTTATTCATATATATCTGATTCACAGAAGCTTAAAGTTGAAATATTGCTCAACTCTGGTTGTCATTATGTTTTCCTCAGAAACTGTAATAACATGCACTTCAGTGCAGCTGTGAGAAATTGTTATAGTTAAATTTTTGGAACGAGGGACTTCATCAAAAGTTCAAAACTGCATTTTATACTGAATTTTCTTTAACCTGAGTGTGTGCTCGCCCGCAACTACAGTTCTAGTTAAATAAGACATCACGACCTATTCCAAACCACCCCACACCCTCCCAAAAAAAGGGTCTAAAATAGGATACCTCATGTTAAAACTTGTAATTAGTACGAGTAAGAATAAAAAGGGAAAAAAAAAATGTTTCTAGCCAGCCACAGTGACCCATGCATGCTGCAGTGGTGAAGCAACATTTTTGAATTGTCCAAGTCAAACCACTATTCCGGTTCAAACCACATGTCAAACTGAAGTCTCAGACGCATGAGAACTAAAGAAGGTAGCATTTCATAGATTGGACGATGGTCCAAATGAATAAATTAGGCCACCATTACTCAAAAATACAGCAAATAGCTTCTCATACCTCAATCATTAATTTCAACATATTGAGGGACAAGACCTCCCACTATTTCCTTCCTCTTTAAATGCCTAGGTTTTAGAGGAGGTTTAGGGCATGTTCCTCTCTATGATTGATAACTAAAGAACCCATGCAAAGGTAAGATGGAATCTGCAATTACATCTCCTGAAGATCAGAGGCCAAGAAAAATTTAAGGAACCATTCTGTTTAGACTTTGATCGAGGACATGAAATGATTCTTTGCAACTCATCCCTACAGCTCCTTCCTCATCAGTTGCTTTCTCTATAAAAATGGAGAAGCTTTTGGAGGGCATGAACTTGCACGGGATTTGATTTTCGTGCTTGGGTTGATCAAAGTAGGTCAAATATTAATTAGTTTCGATCTCATATAGTTATGAAACACTGATTATTGTGTGCACCAACCTTTGAAAGGTAGCGCAGTTGGTAGAGATTCGGTTATTGGTTGCGATCTTAGCTGTTTTAGTCTGGAGTGTGTGCGCAACTAGGGGATTGAATTGATGTACCAAATCACACATCAACAACAATATGGCAAGTTACTTATAACAAAATAATGGCAAAACTGAGAAGGGACAAAATAATATAAAGAAATAAAATATTTTAAAATTTTAAATATCAGTCTTTTCTAATAATTTAAAAGCAAATATATTGTTTGTATTATTATGTAGTCCATAAATCAGGTGATTCCAGTATTCTCAAAAATCCAGCCAGTTAAATCTGTTTTCCTGTTACAATATAGCCAAAAGTGTGGCTATTATTCGTATTTGGTAGGTTGCAGATGTCTGGCAAGAATTTAAGAAGGGAAAATGCTTGCCTCCTACCCCATCCGAGGGAACTTCCATCTTATAGGGGAACTTGGGCCAGATCAAAACTTTAAATCTGTATAAAAAAATTTAAAAAAAAAAATTAAAGGTGGATGTTCTGGATCCATTGTTGCCCACCACCTCCTCGTTTCAAAACCCTAATCTCTGTCCTTAGGTTCTGCTAATAACCCCTTCCACCACCGTTGGCTGCCACCTCCTCCATTCTCAAACCCTAAAATCCAAGTTGGGGATCAACGTAGTGAGGGATCTGGCGTGGGAAGAGGGGGTGGAGGCAGCCAGAGAAGAGGAGTTTATGCAAGTGATTGAGAATTTGAAAGCTGCTCTTACCGTAAAGAAAAAAGAGTTGTTGTAGTTAAGAGAAAAATAACATCCATGAAGAGAAGGGTGAATATTAGGGTTTTTGGATGGAGGTAAGGAAGAAGAGCTATGGAGTCTTGACTGTGAAGATAGAGAATCCGTACCGTCTCAGATGTGGGGAGAGAAAAACATGTATTGTCTTTGGATTACATGTAAAAAAAAAAAAAAAAAAAAAAATAGCTGGATGACCCACCTTTATTTTTTTTTTTTTTTCAAGTTTTATACAGATGTAAAGTTTTTATTAGGCCAAGTCCCCTATAAGAAGGAAGATACTTCTGATGCGATAGGAGGCAAATACAGTCCTTTAAGAAGCAAGGTAGAATTTCTTCCCTCTTCCTCTCTGAGGCTACCATACGATTACTGTAAGGCAACTTCAGTGTACCCTTTATGGAAAGATTTGAAAGAAGACTTGATGATCGAAAGTTGTAATATCTATTGGAAGGGAAATGGTTGATTTTCATTATAAGCACCATTTTTAGTATAAATCTATATCTACCACCCCAGCTTTGGTAGTTGAAGCTTGAAAAGCTCTAGAGGAGCTTCTAGTGAAGCAGGGTTCAGGGGAGGAATCCAAAATCATTTGGTGGCATCGCAGAACTGTTGGAACAAAAAACAATGCCGCAACAGTTCCAAACGAATAGCCTAAGATCTGAAACATTTTCATCCAGCCACACAACATAGCAAGGCTACACCCAAACCCCCTCATTAAATGGCCCCCAAATAAGAAATAATGTCAACCTCAAAGCAATTCCGACCTAAACCAAGCAAAATTAAAATACTGCAGCAAAAATATCTTTCTCCACCAAATCCACACATCTATCATATACATATATATACACACATTATATTATAGTCAGGAACTTACACCTGGTGTAAAATAATAGTTACTGTTATACCCTCTTTATAACTTTTTGAAAGGGGCCCGAACCCACAATGCAATTAGACAAGTTTATCATGTTGTTTGTAGAACACAGAAAATTGTAGTCTTTTGACTCTTTGTAGAGAAATTTAATGCCCAAAAATAATCAATATAACATAAATAATATCATACTTAAACAGGAAATTGAAAACCACAGTAAATTAAGAGGCACTTATCAATTAGAGACTGAGGCAGATGTTCAACACACTGTCCTAAGGCAGATTCGTCTCCCACACATCCTTCAAGCAATGTTGTTGGGTTGCAGACGTCTATCTATCTGCAGGATTCAACGGTCTTCAACCATCATCATAACTCATAAGACAGCAATCCAATATGATGATTCCATCAAAGCAATGACAATTACCCACTTTAAAGACTTAAATATATTACATATGTATAAGTAGGAAAAGAACTTCACTTTAATGAAACGTGAAGTAAGATCAGTAGATGAAAGATTTCTGTAAAAGTAGAATAAAGTTATTTTTGCAGGGAGAAGAATGATCATTATTTGATAGTTTTAAACGTATACGACACTCAATATTTAAAGATTAATAGACAACTCTTGGCAAGAGTCATGACCTTTTGGGATATATAACCCATCAACATGTCATGTACAAATAGTCACGACTTTCAGAAACTCAACAGTTATATAATAATAATACAAAACAAATAATTATAATAATCATTCACCAAACATTCCAACATATCAGACATATCATAAACGCTTCATAATGACTTTGTTGAATATGGTCAAATGTCCGGCTCATAAACTTACTTTTTCTTGATAAGTACTCCCTCCGTCCTAATTTAAGTGTCGCTTATGGGGAGTAGTAATTTTTAAGGGGACATGTTGGACATGCATTGTCTCCCTGGAATGTTACTAACTTGCCCTTTTAAATTTTGAATATTCAAGTTTGAAATTTTAAACTCAAAGAGCATATATGGAAAGATGTGAAATATATTGTTTGAAAAAGGATAGTGAACTATTATTTTGGGACAGACAAAAAAGGAAAGCATAGCACTTATTTTGGAATGGAGAGAGTATTAAATTAACCTCTAATTTAGAATTATACTGATAAGAGAGCTCTCTTTACCCAACAGGTACGGAAGGAAATCTAATCTAAAAAATGGTTTGATAAAAAATAAAAAATACAGCCTATGAGAAGCTATTAATGAGTGTAGGAATCTAAGTTACACAGAGCGGGAGCGAGTGCGGGAGTTGAAGCAAGTGCGAGAGCGCGAAAGCGTCAAAGTGTCAATTTTTTGAGAGCGGGAGTGTCTTGAGAGCGTCGTATATTAGGTTTAAATAAAATTATATCAGTCATAACATATATATTTTATTTATTTAAATTCATATACAAATATATTCATGATTATTTATTCCATTAATGATATATGTAATAAATAAACTAACTTTTCTCATTAATAGAAGCGTGATTTATTTGTAATATTCTCTAATTGGGAAGTTTTTTAGTAGTATATTTTCAAACATGTATAATTAATATATATATATGGTAGTATAGCAACGCCATACAGTTGAGGCACACTAAAATTTATGTAATTAATGTACATATTGAGTAATAGTGTAAGTAATAAATGCATATATGGTAATATAGGTGTTCCATATTATTGGGACTCTAACAAATTTAGCTATATAACATAAATTCGTATGGAAATCGTGAATTAGGAAAACAAATTCGCGAATTGCAAAAATTGAATTCGTGAATTTTGTGCGAATTTGCTCTCAAGTCGCAAATTCGTGTGCGGAACTTGAGAGCGAGGCCTCTTTGGACGAATTGTGTGACTGAGGTAGGAATAGTAATTTTTACAGCAGATGTTAATTTAATCATGTGCCTTATATACATACCTTAATCATGCATATCATAGACGCTTCATAACAACTTTGTTGAATATGGTCAGGTGACCAGCTCATAAACTTATTTTTTCTAAATAAATATTAAATTAACCTCTAATTTAGAATTCTATTGATAAGAGAGCTCTCAATCTCCAATTGTTGATACACACACATCTATAATTGCATGTCATGTTCTCAAGTGCGCATAGAAGTGAGTTACTAGGTTCAAAATCCATAGAGAGCTTGCAGGGGATGCTTTGATGGAAATGAAGAGTTATTGACAAATCATGAACTTTCATTTTAGTATCCCCTCCCCACAAAACAAAACAACGAGACAGCCGACACAACATTCAGCAAAGGTGTCGAGTACGTTCGCATGAATCTAAGATCTGCTTTAACTTAACCTAAGGAGGAACACGAGATCCATGAAAGCACCTTCACTGCCATTCAGATTCTTCACATATTTTTTCTTATCAATACAAATTTAAGGCATGTTCAACGAAAAACTAACTAGCGAGGCAAAGAACCCTAATAATATATTATTCGTCAGCTGTGAAGAATAGTTTGGTCGGAGATATTTGCTACTTAGCAGTGTCTTATGAAGAAATGTAAACAACTTGACAGAAAGATGCTGAATAATTAACTAGAGCAATTAACTATTAAAAAAAGAATTCTACCTACTTGCTTTAACTCATAGCTGCAAGGCATGAAGACTTTTCTATATCTGAGTACTGTTGTGCGGTTACATTCCGCTGCTACGCAAGCGCAAGGATGACTCAAAGCTGACCAAAAAACTAGCTTTGGCTGAATCCTGATTGCTGACAAGTTCACTAACCTCGCTGCAACAGGCAAAAAAAAAACTCTGGCCGTAATCCATGCAACCTTGGCACATTATTGGAGCCGTATATAAACAATTCTTATTCTGAGACACTACCATCCTGCAAATCTACTCAAATAGAAAGCAGCAGGTTGTGGAAGCATGGTAGTCACGTGGCCTAACATATAGCGATCTTTAAGGCCATTAGAAGAGGAATCCACCAACGAAGACCCTTCTCCTCCCCTTTTCTCAGAAGAAAAGGAGGATCCAGACAAAATCAATGAAATGGAAGATATCTGAGTGAATGGAAAGGAAAATACAACGGGAAAGCATATTCAACAATCCTAGATAATTGAACCAGATTTCAGGCTCAGTCCACCAAGACGACTAATGTTGGGCATTATTAACTACTGAGAGAATTAAGATATAACGATCATGAGAACAAACTTTCTGAAAGCAACTGTTCTTTAACCTTTTAAGCCTCCTATGTTTGAGAAACTACCTATTTTACGTAAGGATATATAGATATAAAATATATACTTTTTCATAATGTCACTTATTTCATCATACCATTAGAGCAAGTTTAGTTTTCAGAAACCTGGCTGCTTTAAAACTTAACTATATTCCTGTTGCATCTCTAGTAATGTGGACAAGACTGATACTATCATCAAAAAACCTCTAACCATACATTTCACGGACGAAGAAAACCAATATGGCAATACCCTAATTTCACTTTTGGTTTTGGCAAAAAAAGAAAAAAAAAACACACACACAAACTAGAAATCTTCCTATTTGGATGCAAATTTCAGCAACCTTTCTACATAAGATGTCCCGGCCAAAATTGAAAGGATAAGGGGCTAGAAATATAGTTTTGTTCTTGCTACATTTTGATAGAAATTATGATTCTCTAATTTGAGTCAGTTGCAGATTTGAAGAGGAAGGACAATAGAAATTTTTGAATTACCTATACTGAAAAAGAAATTCTCACTCTTAGAATGCATGTTTTTCCTACTCTAATGCGTGATCTTTCTATTCTATTAGGTATCATTTTATTCATTTTTAGCTCATGAATTCTAAAGTTCCAATTATTTCAACACAGGGACATTCTTAAATTTATCCTTTTATATAAAATCCCATATGTAATCAAATTGATACTGGTAGATATCACTGAACCCTACAATCCGTCACCAGCTATTTTATATTCGCCTGTGTGGAATTCAATAAGATCAAATTGCCAATTGTAGAACTACAGCAAGTAAAAACATGAACAAAGCTCAATATAAATCCAAGATAGTAATTTGCAGAAGGAAATAAACCTAAATAATAATACCTACTCTTTTTAATTGCCGTGTTGGCCATACCAAACACTGAAACTCAATGTTCATACTCTCATAAGCATCATAACCAAGGAAAGACCGAGAAAGATGCCACTCTACTAGCAGATCATATCACGTCAACTTGAAAATGAAGATCACCATTTTCTCATAGAAAAATGAAGGGAAAAAAAAAAAAAAAAGAATCAAACATTCCTCAATAAATAAATAAAAACTCCACAGATTTCATCAAATCTACAGTAATAGATCCATGAAGCATTCAAATCTAGAGGAAAATCGTATTAAAAAGAAAAATTCAAACCATAATTTGAAGCATAGAATGCCGTATCTATCACAAACAAAAAGGCGGGCAACAGATTCAAATCAGACAACCGAAGATTTGAAACATTTGTAGCTCTGATACTCAGCGCGGTCTCCTAGCAGATCATATCTCATCAACTTGAAAATGAAGATCACCATTTTCTCATAGAAAAATGAAGGGGAAAAAAAAAAAAAAAAAGGAATCGAACTTTCCTCAATAAATAAAAAACTCCACAGTTTTCCTCAAATCTACAGTAATAGAGCCATGAAGTATTCAAATCTAGAAGAAAATCGTATTAAAAAGAAAAATTCAAACCAAAAATTGAAGCATAGAATGCCGTATCTATCGGACAATCCAATATCTGAAACATTTGTAGTTCTGATACTCAACGCGGTCTCAGATTCAGTTGATGCAAGGTGGGACCTAAATTGCGGATAAAATTCAAATGGAACTGCCAAACACGGCCTCCAAACGAATCTGATACTGGCACGTAGATGGTGCACTGACTTTTGCTGCAACAATTGGCAAAGGGAGACTAAAGTGGCATTTTGAGAGAGAAGTGGGTCGTGCCGTTAGAATTTTTGAACCTGGATTTGTGAGAGAGAAGTTTCTAGTCTTGAAGTTTTGAAACCCTTGATTTGTGGGGAAATTACAAAACAGTCATTGTGGTGACTGCATGGAGATACAGTAATTGTTCTGCAACTCTAATATGCTCTTTTATAAGAATGACTATATGCTGTTAGTTTAGTATGGACTGTGGAAGAAAACTGGGGGATGCCAAGTAGCTTTGTCTAATATGCTCTTTTATAAGAATGACTATATGCTGTTAGTTTAGTATGGACTGTGGAAGAAAACTGGGGGATGCCAAGTAGCTTTGTAAAAGAATGGGAAATTTTTATATAATTGGATTTTGGAACATATATATAATAGAGCTTTTCCAAAATTTTGGAATGAGAAGCTTTTAATGACTGTAGGAATAGTAATTATTACACCAGATCTAATTTAATACTTTGCCTTGTATACACCTGTATGCATACCTAAATACATGTATAGTTATCCCACACAAACACATGTATATATACACACAGACCTATAATTGAATGTCATGTTCTCAAGCGCGTTTACTAGGTTATTATGCATAAAATAAATGATTCATAAGAACTTTGTTGAATATGGTCAAGTGTTCAGCTCATAAATTTACTTTTTCTTGATATCTATTAAATTAACCTCTAATTTAGAATTATATTGATAAGAGAGCTCTCAAACTCCAAGCATTTCCCGGCAGGCATGGAAGGATATCTAATCTAACTATTGGTTTGATAAATAAATAAATAAATAATAATAATAATAATAATAAAGCCTACGAGAAGCTAATAATGGTCCGGAATAGTAATTCTTACACCAGATGTAATTTAATCATGTGCCTTATATACACCTATATTCATACTTAAATATATGTATTTTTATTACACAGACAAACACGTGTTTGAATATATACACACGCATCTATAATTACATGTCATGTTCTCAAGTGCGCATATAAGTGAGTTTACTAGAGAGCTAGCAGGGGAAGCTTTGATGGAAATGAGGGTTATTGGCTAAATCATGAACTGTCATTTTAATACCCCGAATAAAAAAAAAAAAAAAAAAAAAAACTGCACATAATAAATCAAATTGCAAATATGGAAATCCAAAACAAAACAATGAAACAACCAACGCAACATTCAGCAAAGGGGTCCAAGATGTTCACATGAATCTAAGATCTGAACTTAACCTAAGAAGGAATGCAAGATCCATGTAAGCACCTGCACTGCCATTCAGATTCTTCACATATTTTTTTTCTTATCAACACAAATCTAGGGCATGTTCTACGAAAAACTAACTAGCAAGGCAAAGAACCCTAATAATATATTATTCTAGAGCTGTGAGGAATAGTTTGGTCTGAGTTATCTTTAGTTAGCAGGGTCTTATGAAGAAATGTTAGCAACTTGACAAAAACAAGTTGAATAATTAACTAGAGCAATTAGCTTTTAAAGAAAGAATTCTACCTCCTTGCTTTATCTCGTAACTGCAAAGCATACATATCGAATTTTCTTTATCCGAGACTACTGTCATGTTGTGCAGTTATATTCCGCTGCAACGCCCTCACTCAAATCTGACCAAAAAAAATAGCTTTGACTCGATCATGATTGCCGACAAAAAGTTAACTAACTTCGCTGCAACAGGCAAAAAAAAACATTGGCCAGAATCCATGCAATAATGAATGACAAACTAAAAACTTGCCTTGGCACATTACTGGCGCCGTATACAAACAATTCTTATTCTGAGAAACTACCATCCTGCAAATCTACTCAAATAGAAAGCAGCAGGTTGTGGAAGCATGGTAATCAGGTGGCCTATCAAATAGCAAACCTTCAAGGCCGTGAGGAAAGCATAAACAACAGCCATAGATTTTCTAATTGAACCAGCTTTCAGGTTCAATCCACCAAGACAACTAATGTTGGGCATTAGTAACTATTAAGAGCATTAAGATATAAGACTATTGTTGGAGAATATTATTATAGGAACCTTAAATTACTCCACATAATATTGCTCTGAGAATATTGTGGGAGTGATTTTAGACTATGATAAAATATGATTGGAGTGATTTATGTAATTGATTTTATGAATCTTCCATTAATTTATTTTCCATATTTATCATTTTGTTCTTTCTCCCATAAAGAGAGGTGCTCATTGTAAATTATCTTAAGAGAGAATGGAATGAAAGAGATGTAGCCGTCTGGGCTTTGTGTGTCGTGATGTAAGCCCTAATGGTTGAACCACGTTGTATTCTTGTGTTCTTCATGTTTTATTGTCTCTCTTCAACTTTTATTTTTCTTTTAACATGGTATCAGAGCATTCAACTTTTATTTTTCTTTCAACATGGTATCAGAACATTCAACTTTTATTTTTCTTTCAACATGGTATCAGAGCAGGTTTATCATTCCCTACCTATTCGTACTTAGCTTCAAGTTGGACACTTGAGTTAAAATCTCCATGTACCAACTCAAGGGAGGGTGTTGGAGAATATTATTATAGGAACCTTAAATTACTCCACAGAATATTGCTCTGAGGATATTGTAAGAGTGATTTTAGTCTATGAAAAAATATGACTGGAGTGATTTATGGGATTGATTTTATGAATCCTCCATTAATGTATTTTTCATATTTATCATTACCTATAAATAGAGGCACTGATCCCACCCAAAAAAAAAAAAAAAAAAAAATTACTTTTAGCCCTGTCTTAAAATAAAAATAAAAATAAAAATAAAAAATTATTATTATTACTATTAGCCCACCCAAAGAAATATTAGAGGTGTTCATTGTAAACAATCTTAAGAGAGAATGGAATGAAAGAGATGTAGCCCTCTGGGCTTTGTGTGTTGTGGATGTAAGCCCTAGTGGTTGAACCGCGTTTCTATTCTCGTGTTCTTCATGTTTTATTGTCTCTCTACAACTTTTATTTTCCTCTTAACAACTATCATGATAATAAACTTTCAGAAAGCTAGATTGTCCATCTAATTATTTTATCATACCATTAGAGCAAGTTTTCGTTTTCGAAAACCAGGTTGCTTTAAAACTTAAAGTTATTCCTGTTACATTCATAATAACAGTGACAAGACTAGTACCATCATCAAAAAATCTTTGACCGACCATACATATCACCGACATTGCAAACCAGGATACCCTAATTTCACTTTCAGTTTTGGCTAAAGAAACACAAACCAGAAAACATCCATTGGGATGCAAATTTCCCCAACTTTTCTATATAAAGATGTCCCCGCCAAATATAGAAAGGACAAAGGGCTAGAAATGTAGTTTCATTCTTGCAAATATGATTCTCTAACTGTAGTGAGGAAGGACAATAGAAATTTATGAGTTAGAATGCACGATTTTCCTATTCTATTAGGTATTCTAAAGTTCAAAATTCTTTCAACATGGGAACATTCTTAAATTTCTCCTTGCATATAAAATCCCACATACAATGAAATTGATACTCTTGAACCCTATAGTCCGCCAACAGCTATTCGTACTTAGAAGAGAATCTGTTCTGATACAACTCAGTTGTATGATAAAAATAAAATAAAAACCAAAGGAAAAATGGTACTAAATTTTGTTTAATCAAGACAACTACATTTTTTAAGGAAACTTCACATCATTTAATTAAATAATCAATGCAGCGATCAAAGTTACAGATTCCTCATTCACCAGTGTGGAATTCAATAAGATAATTGCCAAATGTAGAGTTACAACAAGTAAAAACACGAACAAAGCTCAATATAAATCCAAGATAGTAATTTGGAGAAGGAACTAAACCCAAATAATAATACTTACTCTTTCTAATTGCCGTGTTGGTCAGTTCAGTATCTTCTTGGAGCAAATAAGCACAGAAGAAAGAATTGAAGTTTTAGACGCCATATCAAACACTGAAAAATTCAATGTCAATACTTATAAGATGGATAACCAAGGAAAGACCGAGATCTAGATGCCATTCTAGACGCAGATCATATCACATCAACTTGAAAATGGAGATCACCTTTTTGAAGAACAAAGAATCAAACTTTCATCAATAAATCAAAAAACTCTACAGATTTCTACTGTAATAATAGATCCATGAAGTATAGAAATCTAGAAGAAAATCGTACTAAATAGAAAATTTCAAACCTAAAATTGAAGCATTGAATGCCGTATCTATCAGAAACAAAAAGGCGGCAACAGATTCAAATCCAACAATCCAAGATCTGAAACATTTGCAACTCCGATACTCACCGTGGTCTCCGATTCAGTTGATGCAAGGCGGGACCCAATTCGCCGCTAAAATTCAAATAGAACAGCCAAACACGGCCTCCGATCGGAAACGACGTCGCCGGCGAAGCAGTTCCCGACCTGCACCAAGCGAATTAGAGACCACCGCAACAAAATCTCCTCTTCAACGACCAATTCATTCATATATCTATGTGTGCATATATAGATCTATCTATGTGTATATTGGTAGAAACAAATAGATAGATCAGATAATTGCATGCAAGGAAGAACCCTATCTTGCGGTGTCAGTGGTCAGTAGCCATAGGGAGAGCTATAGCTTGTTAGGGAAGTGATGGTGGAGATGAGAGGTATTTATAGGGGAAACGAACGAATCGGATACTGACACGTAGACGTTGCACCGAGTTTTGCTGCAACGATTGGCAAAGGAGAGTAAAGTGAGGGGTTTTGAGAGAGAGAGAGAGAGAGAGAGGTGGTTCGTGCCGTTGGAATTTTTAACCCTGGATTTGAGAGAGAGAAGCTTCTAGTCTTGAAGTTTTGGACCCTTGATTAGTGCTGAAATTACCAAAAAGTCCACAGTGGTGACTACGTGGAGATAACAGTAATTGCACGTGCGCGACTTTTGTAACTGTGATGTGCTCTTTTACAATGATGACTATTACCATATGATTTATAATGGAAAATTTTACAGTCGTAGTATCTGCATATTCATACTGATATGGATTATGGAGTGAGAAATAAAAGTATTTTGTTACTAAAATAACTTTGGGGGTATGGAAATTTTTTTGTGTACAAATCTGTCCTTTGCATAATTACTTTTAGAATAATATTATTACCAAAACCCTCTCATAAAAAAAGGTTTTAACTTTCCTTATTTAATTATTGAATTTAAAGATTCATTAAATATTTCAATTGTTTAAAAAGTGCCTCAATTTTGTGGTTAAATAATGAGACCTTATGTCAGAATTTTTTTAAATAAAGTTACTTTAAATTTTATGAGCAGTGAAAGAAAATTGAGATAAGTACTATAAATGATGATGTGGCTCCCCCTGTCATACTATATATGTAAATATGTATTTATATAGTAATGTGGACATTTATTAAATGTCCTAAAATAAGTGTTCAATTTTTTTTTTTTTTTTTTTTTTTGGGATAGTCTCAAAATACTTATCACACTTAAAAAGTCTAAATAAGATATTTTATAGGGTTAAGAACAAAAAATAAAATAAAAATAAAATAAAAACCTCTAGATATAGTGCAAAACGATCACAGTGTGAAAAAAAAAAAAAAAAAAAAAAAAAAAAAAAAAAAAAACATATACTATTAATTTGATGCAAATACCCTCATGTTTGTATAAAAAGACTATGATACCCTCTTATCAATGAATTATGTTTATTTGTCTTATCAATCAAAGTAGTGTGTGATACAATAGCATGGGGACCAATTTTTTTTTATGAAAAATAACATAGCTATATATATATAATATTTTGTTTCATCATAGACCAAAAAAAAAATTAAAGAACATATTTGAAAACGTAAAAGTAAATGATTTTATATGTATAATTGAAAAATTAGAAATTCCTTACCAAAATTTATTAGAAAGAATAAACAAATAATTTGAAAGCATTATATAAAATATGAAATTATATATGTATAGTATTCGTATAATTTCAGATCTAAAGAAATAAATATTTATATTTAATATAACTAAAAACAAAATTGTACTGTATTCATATAATCTGTGATCTACAAAAATAAATGTTTATATTTAATATGTTTCATACTAACACCAAAACTGTAAAACATTCATATAATCTTTGACCTAAAGAAATAAATATTTGCATTTAATGATTCATACTAAAAGTAAAACAAAAAAAGACAAAGTAAAAGAAAACATATTATTTGATCTTGGTGATATGAGAAAAGGGCAAATTATGATTTTTAAATTTATTTTATGTTAATTTTGACTAAAAAGTGGTTGAAGGGGCTTATTTACATTTTTTCAAAAAAAAAATATACCTTGTGCATAAAAACTTATATTACAAGAGAGTTTTCTACGCTTTACTCTATTTCATACAAGTCCTTGCTTTACCTTACCATTATTATGTATAGTCTGATTAAAACATTCTTGGAAAGTAAAAACTCATTCCCAATTATGGTTTAAGTTCAGCATAAATTATCATGAAATCAAGATGAATCGATTATTTTCTGGTTATAATTCAAGATTGTGACATGTGTTATAATCATGTAAAACTTCATTTGTGATTTTTTGCTGTCTTGTTTGTTGGGTATTGATGACTTGTACGTTATCAAAATAAGGCTATAATAGTATTTTCTTGCATCCATAGCAATAAGTAGGGTTTCTGTTGGAATGGTAAAATATTTTAAACATATATCAAAATAATGACGAATGAAAATTCCATTTCAAAAAATTGTTGACTTCTAGTTACATCATTTTCATGTAGCTTATTATTTTAGAACAACAAAAATTACTAAGTTTTAAACGTCCACATCAACAAGTCACTAAAAAAGAGAGAACAACAAAACAAACATTATAAAGAAAAGATCAATCAACAAAGAAATTAAGCCATATGAAAAATAATCAAATATAGTATATAATAAAATAAAAGGACAAACATAATGATAGCGAAAGGAGATACAGAAATAAAAATAATAAATAAATAAATATAGAAAACATTGTTTCACATACTTAAGTTGACAAGCCTAAATTATAACAAAGAATTATCTTTGAGATTTAGATTTATAAATTTGACTTTGGGTTCGCGCAATACGATAACACACTAACATTTCATAATAATAGAGTTGAAAATTGAAAGTTTAACGTAGAAAGTGATGAAGCACTATTAAATCACGGTTAAAGTTTTTTTGTAACAATTTCATAAATTAATCAATAAATAGAAAAGAAGAAAAAGATTTGAGAAGACAAAGCTAATTAATAAGTAAATGAGTAAACAAACCAAATCCATTTGATGAGAAGATGATTCCAAGTCCTAGTTTTACCTATTTTTCTGTGTGTAAAATATTTACACAAAAATGTTCATGTGAACTCGTAAGTGTTACAGAGATGTATTGCAAAAGATGAAGAGAAAATTTAATTTTTTTCTTGCAGCATCAGGCATCAGGTTCGATTTCTATTAGGTATAAATAATTTCTTGGAGGGGAGTGTGTGAATATCAATTAAGAAATAAAATAAAATAAAATTTTATTAGAGACTCACAACTGTGGTGGCGCAATGGCTACTCTAGTTGGGTAACAGATTCATCACACATCCTCTTGGGTTACAGTTCATTCAGTGGTGAATGGTTGAGAGTGATGAACTTCACCTATCACTATGAAAACGCATAAAAACATGACTCGAAAAGGAATTTGATTGCTTCATATACAAACCCTCAATCCCTTGCATTGAATTTAGGATGAGATCGATATACATATGACATAAAATTCATAAATGGCTCACATTTTCTAACAAAAGACTTTGATTAAAGTCATATGTATTGCAAAAGAGGAAGAGAGAGGCTAATTATAGACCACTAGTGTGGACCACCGTGTGGTTGTTATGCGGTCGCTCTCTAATTCGGAGATGGATTCTATCAATTGTCTTCAGTCAAGTTCTCTGTTTCATTCCAGTGGGTAAAATTCATCACACTATCAATGGTGATGACCTTCACCTACCACTTGAAAACACACAAAAACAAGCCAAAATGATTTTAATTGCTTCATTTCATATATATATATATATACACAAACCCTCAACTCTTGCATTGAATTTAGGATCAGCTCAATATATGTATACATGTGCTTTCGGTTTCTGTATTGACGTGAGAGATAAGACACAAGTAGTGAAACAGAGTCACTTTGAGGAGTAGCCTTTAACCATTTGTCAAAGTAAATGATTATGTTAGTGTCTGAATTTCTGCATGTTGGAAGGGATATACGTAAAAGCCCTAAAATTTATGCATCATTGTTTAGGCTTAAGCCTATTACTCGTAGTCAAAGCAAAGGCCATCATAAAGGCATGGATATTCAAGTTTTGGACAGTGAGAATGCTGTTTGATGAATGAAAATAAAAGCACGCTAGTGTTGACTTTGTTGTACCATCTTTCATCAACTGTTACATTTATTTATGAGTTGCGTAAATGCTGATGTCTATGTTACGGATGTAATTTGGGTGAACCAACAACATGCAATACAAATTAAAAGCAGCCTAATAGGATTTCAAAAGATTTGAGTAGAAGGTTCTTTAGAGTCGTTGATCTCCAAACAAGTTTTTGTTTACTTATGAGTAGTACTACTACACAAATTTACAGCCTTAGAACATTCATTATTTAAGCCCAATCTCCAATTTCTTTTATTCCCTGTATGCAATTCACACACACCTCAGGCTTCCCACAACACTACATGATCCCTTGTCTCTCTCTCTACCAGGAGGACAAAAACAAACTCCAATTTCACAATTCAAAGAAACAATCAATAAATACAGTTTGATTAAAATAAAACATCATATGCTGCAAAGAACACATAGACAGATGTAATCGAGATGGATAAAATCTTTCAATTCAACATGGTGAATAATGGAAATCTAATTAACACTAATTAATTCCATCAACACATAATAACACACAAGTAGCTAATGCTACGTTTGGTGTACAGAAATAGAATGGAATGGAATGGAATGCCCATTCCAACCATTCCTTTGTTTGGTACGCATGAATGAAATGGAATGGCCATTCCATTGGAATGAAAATCCATTCCTGGGAATAAAAATCCATTCCATAACTAAACCTATGGAATGACTATTCCATTCTCAAGTAATTTTTCTAAAAAAATTAACTTCCCAAAAAACCCTTATGTTTCAAGTCCAAAAACCACCATTACCTTCCACCACAACCACCTCTGCCTTACTCACCACCACCACCACCACTACCGCCCTCTTCCACCACCGCCACCGCCACCGCCTTTCACCACCGTTACTGCCACCGTTTGCCACAACCACCACTGTCAGCTTTCACCACCATTATTGCCACCACCTTCCACCACTGTCAGCTTTCACCACCATTATTGCCACCACCTTCCACCACCACCGCCATTGTCTTTCACCACCTTCCATTACCATCGCCACCATTGTCTTGCACCACTGCCACCACTTTTCACCACCACCACTGCCATTGTCATTGTCTTCCACCACCTTCCATCACCACCGCCGCCGCCACTACCTTCCATCACCACCATCGTCACCACCTTCCACCGCCTTCCACCACCACCATAGTCACACCACTATCTCCTTCCACCACCACACTACTGCCATCGCCTTCCACCAACAGCATTGCCACCTTCCAGCACCACCGCCACCTTCTAGCACTGCCACCTACACCACTACTTCTTTCCACCATCCACTACCGCCACCATTTATTTTTAAAAATTATTAGAGAATCTCATTTTGTTAATTTGATTTATTTGTTACTAAGAAGGATATTTTGGAGAATTCAATTAGAAATTTATTCCATTCTAAATTTTAAATTGGTCCAACCAAATAATAAAATGGCTACTATTATTTCATTCTTACATATTTTATATTTACAACCAAATAATAGAATGAGAATGGTCATTCCATTCCATTCCCATTCTGATTCCATTTCCACTAGCATTCCATTCTATTCCTACACACACGCGCGGCATAAGTTCATAGAGAGTTAAAATGCCAAAAAGGTGGGTCATTCACTTCCACTATTTCAGATTTAATCCCTGACAACTAAACAAACCAGTTTCCCATTGTCTGTCTCAATCCCAGTAACCCCACCTTATCTAATCTTTCAAGTGGTACCAAATTTTTGGCATCAATAAATGAGGCTAGTGATAACCAGGATAAAAATCTCAACATGGTTAGCAGAAAGTTCCAACTCGTTCTCACGTTACACACTTAAACAATGCAGGACCACCTACCAACATTAAAACTGCAGTCCTACGTACCAAAGCTTAAAGGGACCGAGCCCCTGTTGCATGCAAAACTTTTGGTTGTGTTCAAGTTGATGATGGACTTGAAAGGAAAGCACATTTTACTCTAATTCACTAGTCCGTAGAAGGATCAACTTTTAGAATCATTATCAAACAATTAAATTGAAAGCCGTTCCTTTCAAATCCAGCAATCCAAATAGGACACTGATATTTTTAAGTAAATCTTCCTGTTCTTAGAGGCATATAACATATTAGTATTGGCTCTGTGAATATGTAAGGCAGACGTGTAATTTCAATTAAGTTCAAAAGAACGGGTACAACTATCAAGCAAATGTTTGATTTTTTTTTTCCATCAAATTTAAGAGTCACCAAACAATGCGCATTTCACAAAAAGCATTCTGGAAAAGCAGTGGAAAAAAACCCAAAAAACTCTTGATTTGTTGGTTCGGTGATTTAGTGTGAGATGGTCTGTTTAAGTCTACTAAAAAATATTCCTGATAAAAGGGAACCATCCATAACTAACCTATAATTTCTTTCATAGAATCCAATATTAAGGTGATTATGGTGACAATTGGAAGTCATTATTTCTTTAAGCTCAATTAAGAACACACAAGTCAACAACTTCAATAATATTACAATAGAATGAATAATGATTAAGTGCTGTGGAATTGGATGATCCACCACACAATGAACAAGTGCTGCCAGAACCGACCTTTGTTTTGCCCTCTTATGTATCTGAGCCCACCAAGCACAAATGCAGAAGAGACACTGGCATGGAATGATCCACTATAAATAAATAAAAAACAAGTGCACCAGGAACTGACCTTGCTTTAGTTTCTCATGTCTCTTCCTCTGAGCCCATTGACCTCAAGTGTGGCAGTACTTTTGTTGGGGCACAATCAAGGACAAGTACTCTGCAAAGAGCCCCACTCTTAAAAACGAAATAGGAGTGAAACCAACAGTTTTCCCTGGACTATTATCATTAGAGCAATAGCATATTCCAACCTATGACAGCGACCAGACATTTTTCAAGCCAACCACCTGAGCAGTGATTGGCTACCAAGAGCCACTGAAGGATACAATATGCTTGCCCTAGGAAAAAGAAAATAAAATGTAATACAATTACTTAACAGAGAAAAAGAAAAAAGAGGTGACACTAACCTGTCATGTGAAGGTGTCATATGGAGGTCTACCAAGATGCTTGTATGTGCACAATGAGAAGTAAACAGAAGTGACCACTTCAAGTATACTGACACACTGAAGTAACCTGCATAATTCCGAAGTAATAACCAATTTTTGTACTGCAAAAGTACTAATAAAGATAGCCATAGTACAATCTGAGAGAATTTACTATAGTTTACAAGATGTTTCCCAATTGTGTATCTTCCCTATTCAGATTTTAAAAAAACAAAAAAAAAAAACCTCAGAATTACATAGAGAGAACAAAAATAGTTCAGTTGACCTTTACAAGCTGCAAAGAAGATTCAAGAAAATAAACAAACTTCACAATCCAAGGTCTATGATACATGACACTATATGATAACTCCAAGAGCCAAGTAACTTTAGAAAGAAAAACCAAGCCAGCAAACTGTCCGTTCTAAAAACCTTAAGGCCAGTGGAGTCAGCACATGAGCAACTCTCGGCAGAGTAGGGTATGTGAGTGTGCCAAGTATAAACCAGTTGAAGCTTAAGAGAGCGACAGCATCAGATGCAGGTTTATTCTTAATGGTGTAGAAGAACTGTACCACACTCTTCAACGAAATGCCAACCACAGTAAAGAGTGCTACCACAAGAGGCATGCAAGGGTCTTCAGCTTCCCAGATAATCATTCCAACCAAAAGTGATAATACCGCGCTAAAAAGGCTCTGTGAAAGTGCAACCTCCCTTCTATGGTCAAGAACTTCATTCAAATCTAATTTTCTAGAGATAGTACCATGTCTAAGTGAGTGGATGGGCTCACTTGCTTCAGATCCTGTCCTCACAAAATCAGGCAAATCAGTTTTACTTTTCCTCTCATTCTCCCAAGCATCACTGTGCACGAGGAGATCTTGGAGGATAATACCACTTCTATCATAAATGGATCTCCATGATGGGACCCCATATGAAATGTCATACTTGTCAGCAACATTAGTGTTGTGGTCATTGCCCGTGTCATCTTGATCTCTGAAACTCCAAAGTCCTTTGCCATGAACCTCTTTCAGCCTTAGATTTTCATCCTTCACATCCTGCAACTGTTAGAACACCCACAGGTCATGTACAAGTTACATACCTAAAGTATTGAATCAGGCCAAAATTGCTGAAAATGCTTAAGAACACAGACCAGTACTCTATATGTCAAACGTAGAAGTAACAAGGAAAATAACAGAAAAATAAGGAGAAGCATTTATAATATAATTCCTTCTGAAAACCTTCAGGTCATTTCCAGGTGTGTGGGGATTCACTATTTTGATAACATTAGCTATACCATCAGTCTCTCGGTAACTGCTTGAAATTTCAGAAATTCAAATTTTCAATCCAATCAACAAGTATGAAAGTGACATCAACACACATAGTTAAAACTTCAGTAATTGAAGGCAAAGAATGGCATGTCCCCCCGCATATTTTTTGGTAGTGCCAGAGGAACAATGTCATAACACAATATAGAATGACTATTGATACCTAAAGCTGTAGCTTGAAACTAAAGTTCTGTTTAAGTGAACTTTAGGTCAGAGAGCGATACACACATAGCATTGGCAAGCTTAAAACCCATGATACCAACTTAAATTATTGTGCTGATAGATTGATACACAGAGAACATGTAGACACATGCATCAATAGGGAATATCTCCTCTTCCTCCACACTAATTCAGTTTTTTCCCATAAAAAGTGGAGCTAACATACAATGCCCACCACAACCAAAGTTACATAGACTGGGATACTTGTGTTAAGTGTGCATGCATGTTTAAGCATTTGCTTCAACAGAAGTATTTTTGCACATATAGAGCAGTCCACATCCCAGTTTCATGAATCCACCGTCTCCCTAGCCCTTTTACAGTCACTTTAACAAGTCCAAGCAATTAATTAGTTGCTGTCAATTGATATTTCTTACTATTATATACTGAATATCCTACAACCAATTAACTTTTAAAGCAAGACATTTTGCAGACATGGAATGTAATTATAGCCTTGTGGGTCATCTTTTGGTTCAAGTTCGGGTCGTGTCTTATGTTGTGGACTTGGTATGTGATGGAGAACGAGTTGTAGTTCACAAGCCGCACATGATTCACCATTACTCTTGGAGAAGGGGCAAAGATAGATGAAATCAAGGATTTAATTTAATTAGGGTTATTTTTTATTATTTTTGGCAATGTTCTATTTTTAGGAATATTTTACTATTTTACTATTTTAAGGTTTCTTAGGATTTGTTTGTGTTTTTTCTGTAACTAAACAATTCAGTTTTTCATTATTGAACTATTATTGTGAGTTGCCAACTATCCTTCTTCTAGCCCATCTCATCTTTTCATTCCCATCCCCTTGTTTCATTCTAATTCTAAATCTCTATCACAACCACCCTATCTGTCCAACATCAACTTGGTTCAAAGCAAAAGATCCAAGTTTGTTCATAACGAAAGATCTAATTAATACAAACATTTAAATCACCTAATCCAAGACCAATCGAATATGTTGTTACTGTTTAATACCCAAGACAAAATAGCCTAAATATATGCACTATGCAAAACCCAAACAAACCTAACCCTAACCCGTGTCGGTGGGTTGACAACATCTGAAAAGTCCACTCGAGCTCTCTGGACAGAAACCCATTACAACCCGACGTCACCCAAACAACCATCAAACAAAGACCATACCATACCATCAACTTCTCCTAAACCCACAGTTACCCAACCCAAATACAGCCAGCTGAAACCGGTCGTAAACCACCAATAAGCCCGCAGCGAAACCACCGCTGCCACAACAAAGAATAAAAAGCCTTCTCACGGCCACAGTGTAACTCACCTTCATCAGAATCGCAACACCACCACCATCACGTTGCAATTGTTACCACCGTAAGCCATTCGAACAACCATCGTGTCTTCACCAAAGCATTGTCGCTAGGGTCCCTTCATCATTGGACGATCTTGTGCTCGTCACCAGTGCCTATTGTAACTTCTGCTTGTCTCCAGTATCGTTTATCTGCAAGCAGCTCTAGGGTCCTCTCTCTCTCTCTATGATTGATCAGTTTGGGAAAGGAAGTGTGTTTCTGTTATTACCCAAAACCAACCTGATCCCCAAATCGGTTGGGAAAAAATAGCATGTCCACCACAGAGTTTTTGGTAGTGCCAAAGGAACAATGTTATAACACACTATAGAATGACTATTGATGCCTAAAGCTGTAGGTTGAAACTAAAGTTTTGTTTAAGTGGACTTTAGCACACAGAGAGAGGCGCACATAGCATTAGCAAGCTAGAAACCAATGATACCAACTTAAATTATTGTCCCGATAGCCTGATACACATAGAACGTGTAGACACGTGCATCAGTAGGGAATATCTCCTCTTCCTCCACACTGTTTTTCCCAAAAAAAAGTGGAGCTAACATACAATGCCCACCACAACCTAAGTTGCATAGACTGGGATATTTATGTCAAGTGTGCTTACATGTCTAAGCATTTGCTTCAACACAAGTATTTTGCACAATTAGAGCAGTCCATGTCCCAGTTCCATGAATCTATCACTTCCATATCCCTTTGACAGTCACTTTTAGAATTCCAAGCAATTAATTAGCTGCTGTCAATAGATATTTTTTACAATCATATTCTGAATACCTTACAACCAATTACATTTTAAAGCAAGACATTTTGCTGGACACGTAATGTAATTGTGGACTTGGTTATATTTTGGTTCAAGTTGGGGTCATGTGTCTTTTGTTGTGGACTTCAGCAAGTTTATATAGCCTTACCACCTGACTGTTTTCGCACATCCTTTTATTCATGCTTTAATTGATATGGGTTCGTGCTGGCTGCTTTACTTGATTTCTGATATGAGTCCTCACTTGCCAGACATTTCTCTCTCTCTCTCTCTCTCTCTCTCTCTCTCTCTCTCTCTTTTTTGCCACTTAGACCCTAAGCAAGCCAAAGTTGATCATAGCTAGCAAGAGATATCTGATGGCAAGATGAAGTAAATCAACCGAAAAGGTCCAGTCTATATAAGTGTTATTACAAAATGTCAATTCCACCAGATATGCTCTTTAAGGATTATGTGATGCAATTCCACCTAGGTTGATCCCTACCACATTCTATTGCGCTTTAAAAAAAAAAAAGGAAAAAAAAAAGAAAAAAAAAAAAGAAAAAAGAAAAAAGAAAAGATAGATACCTACCAGATTCTAGGAGGTGAATCAGGTGATCCTTAAAGTTTCTTTTTCTTCCTTTTTACAATAAATCATTTATGCACTTGTAAACCTTTCAAAGTCCACGAAGAGATTTATTTAACATTTGTTTTACCCTTACCTTATTGGCTTATTGGACAAGCTTAACCATTCCTCTTTCAATTATTCAATTGTAGAACACGAGGAGAACTAGAAAGATCCAAGGGTTGTGTCCAAAGATACTGTTCACAGTACACAACAGTCCCTAAACTCTCTGATGCAGAGCAGAGGAGAGAAAAGAAGAGATGAATAGAGAAAAGGTAAAATATAGGGAGGAAAATTGTATCTCAATCATCAATAAGTGTGAAAAACCGTATAACATAAAGCCTTATTATAAATCCAGGATAAAAAAAGGCCTTTTTTATAAACAAATTTGTAGGCAACCATTACTTTACACCCTTCACAAACCCGAAATCCCTCCATCTCCACAAACCTTTTAGCCACATAAAACCAATTATAGACAGACAAAAAGTACCCTCTTCACCAAGCAGTACATCAATTGTGGCATCATACCTGATAGGAGGGTACTGGTTATGTTCGTCCGACATAGTCTTGACAAAAAAAGTTATGTAGTCTACAGTTAACTGGACATGTAATACGGTTTTGCATGTTGAAGAGATGTATGAAATACATAAACTTAAATATACAAGTAATGTAATAGACTTTTGAAAGAGAGAAATTCCAAGACCAAGTCCAGTGACAGGAAGTGCAAATAAAAAATTTCTGAATAAATGGCTAATTAGAGAAACCTTTATCAAGCACTATTGTAATGACATGTAGAAATGCCAACATAGAGACATAAAACCATTATGAAGTTCACATGTATTGCAGAACTGCAGTGGAAACACTAATAGAAGCCTATTGGAAATGCCCGGCTTCTCATTGTACTTTGTGATTATTATTATTATTATTTTTTCTGATAAGTATTGTACTTTGTGATTATTTCTTAATGCAATGTAACCATCTCATTTAGGGGGGAAAAAGGACTAATAGTTCAAAACCCTTTAGGGCTTCTATTAAAAACCTCAGGCTGTTTCTGACCCAATGAGAAAGTATGTGAACTAAACTATTAGCAATTTACCTCACCCTCTAACAGTTCAATTTTGATAATAGCCTGATCATGTTCCTCTTCAAGTTCTGCTAACATGATCTCCATCATTCTATGTTCTTTAATGGCCATCTGAAGACGTTCTTCGAGTTCCTTCCTATCGCAGACAAGATTCTCCAACTCAATCTGGATCTCATGCAGATGCATTTCCAGCTGTGTATCATAAACACCATTCTAATATCAGGAATATGTCAGACAACTTAGATTACTTTGAAGACCACTCATTGAACAATTGTGTCACAGTATAAACATGCAACAAAATGGAGAGTAACATATCCAAAAGGAAAACATAAACAAGAAAGCATTATCGTAATCTCTATAAGGCTTACCAGTTTAACTATCTACCAAATATTAGTCTTCTGTGGATTCAAATAGGATTTTTTAAGTGTCATGATGTAATAACCCTTGATAATCATCTTAGAATATATATGGCTTACAAACTCAGCTATCTACCAATCATAGTCTAATACAATTCAAATAGGATTTTAAAGTGCCACAAGTTCACTTGCAGTGGTGTATTATGATGATATAATTGTTCAATAGGTTATAAAATCTAAGAAATACTAATTACGCTAAAGAATTTCAGACCTATGTTCAAGATTAAAGGTAACATTCAGAGCTAAACTAATTAATCATAGTAGGGGGCTTTTTGGAGTCTGAGATTGAACAAAGACCATCATGAAAGAAACTGTGCAAAGAAGCATTTCTAACCTACTTTCAAGATTAAAGGCAATCCAAGAAAATACCAAATGCAAAGAAGCATTTCTGACCTATGTTCAAGATTAAAGGCAACATCCAGAACTGCATTCATTAGTATGAAATCAAACTAGTAACTCATAATAGGGGACCTTTTTTGGAGTCTCAGATTGAACAAAGACTACAACATGAAACATTAGTTTCAAAAAATCAGTTTGGGATCATGGTAAGAAAACAAAAGTCAGAGGCTAACTACTTACTGAGAAAACTGATGGAGAGATTTAAGAAAAAACAAAATGAAGAGGCAAATACTCAATATAGGTTGGGCCACCACTACATGAACCCATCCAATAGCATGTCAAAGCCAACATCCATCATGAATGAATAATTTGGAAGTACATTCGAAAAAACTCCTTTACCAAAAGAACATATTAGCATCAAAAGAAGCATAATTAATCAAATACTACGATATCATATGGTTATCCAAAACTCTTACCGTGTACATGAACTACATAAGCCGATTAGGCATTGAGCCCTAACCTTTTACTTTTGAGTCAAGTCTAACATATATATAAGACCCTCAGAAGAAGAGCTTGCATACAACCTTAACTAGAAACACAACTGCTCATGCAGTTACAAGCTAAGCACAGGCTAAGTGCACCTCATTGGCCCAACCGTTGTGGCCAAAGTGAAGAAAGAAAACAAGTTCGATAGCAGGAGTAATATGGTAAGAACATTGATTTTAAATAAACTTGTGCTCCAGCCAGCCTCCAAAGCAAGATTATTAGTTTTTCTTTAGACATACATGTTGTATCGTGTAAGGAATTACATATAAGTTATTATATTGTTTTTTATATGTATGTATATATTATTATATTTTACGTAAAAGAAGGTCATTATGTTGGTCTGGTAAACCCAGAGTGCTGGAAGGTGTGAGTTGAATACAAAAGTTACCTTAAGATTATTTGCATGAGATGCACAAAGTACTTTTGAAGCATATTGGAATTTAAATATGTCATATAAGAGTGACAAAGCCACTGGTTAACTTAAAAACATAGCATTCAAGGTGAGATTTAAAATCATATCTCCACTTGTTCATTCATGCCTTTAAACCATTTTCTGTTAGCAAAATTTAAACCCTTCCCACTAAAGGGATAAAACCAATCTACATCAGACTTTTCCCAAATCCCAACTCCTACGTCAAACTGGAACTTTTCTATTTTAATTAGAATTCTCATTTTTCAAGTATGTGAATGTTTCTGTGCTTGGACTTCTTAAGGAAAATTATGCTTCTCCACAAAATTAGATTGAACTACTAATAAACATAAATAGAAAACGAGAAAAGAATTAATAAATAACAGAAAACAAAAACAAAACAAGCAAACATAAATTGAATGAACTCATGCTTATCTGCATAAACTAGGAACAATATCGTAGCAGAGGCAACATAAAACTAACCAGCCTCTCCCTCTGCAATGAAGTCAAAACTCGCACAGGAAGCGATAGTATAGCAACGGTCCATATCAGGAATTTCCAAAGTATGTATACATGTAAGCAGATAGCAGCTCTCACCAGCTCTACCCAGGTGTGAACAACAAGGAAAAAACTTCTCAAACCAAACAAGCAAGATAGTTTAACCAGTGAGAAAGGCTTCGTCACCAAGACTATTATGGTAGCCACTAATTCAAGGAACAGCACCATCAGATCCACCATTATAAACCAATTCTAGTGCATTCCCATCCAACTAGATGCCACCAATTCCATAAAGGTAGGAAGTCAAATATTTTCCTATATCCTGCATAAAGGATATATCACAGTAAGAAGAAAAAATCCTTCAAAAAGAAATTGTGGCATCAATATCAAAATGGAATACAGGTGATATTTTTCTACCAAACCGAAGAGGATAGAAAAATCAGGTACCTGAAGGGCTTGACTTAGAAAAAAATTTAACAACACATACAAAGCACCAAGAAATTCATCCTCTCACTTCAACACCAATCTGATTCTGTTCTAACAAACACAAAATCATCAGGAAATAGTACACTTGTATTTGTTTAGCTTAAGTCAGTAACGTAGATGAATCATGTTTTGTCATGGGGTGTGTAATGGGTGGGCGCTTGCCCATTTACCCAAAAGCTCGAACTATTGGGTAGTGCTGCATACCCACCCATTTATACCCAATCACTTTCCAATCCGATTCCGATGTGGGACAAATGACCCTTATTACATTCTCCCCCGCCCAAACTCGCAACGCCCTTATTGCGGTTCGGGCCACCTGCCTACCCGGGGTGCTAACCCGGACGCCTTCCGGGACGGGCGTTTGGCGTGACACTAGATCAAGGACTGGGTCTGGCTCTGATACCAATTGTAACGGGTGAACGCTTGCCCATTTATCCAAAAGCTCGAACTATTGGATAGTGCTGCATACCCACCCATTTATACCCAATCACTTTCCCATCCGATTCCAATGTGGGACAAATGACCCTTGTTACAAGGTGTGTGATAGGCAATAGACAGCCTCAGGCTAATATGGTAAAGGTTGGAAAATCAATTTCCAGCTACTTAAAGTTGAAATTCATTTCACATCCCAAAACCCAAGTGAAACACACCTAAGAAATGAGTCATAAGTGATCTAAGCATAATGCTTGCTTTCTCTAATTAGGTTTTTTTAGGCTGATATGAATCTTTGACTTCGTTCTGTTTCTTGTTCATCCTTAATTTTTAATTATTTTTTGGTTGTATGAGTGCTTCACGACATTATAGAACACGAAAACAATGGTTCATTTTGAAGAAAGCCATATGGTTATGTTTGTTAATTGCCAATAGAAAGCACAAGGAGGGCAAGTAATCTGTCACTAAAGAGATAAGAGAAATAGTCATGTACCATAAGTTGGGATGCACTCTCACTTAAATAAAGAGTATTTAATTCTATACAGATAATTCAAGAGACTGATTTCCAGTGTCATAAAACGATTGACAAAATGAAATGTAAGAATGTTATTTACGTTTATAAATTTCATGACAAAGTTTAAAAAATAACCAATATTTATAGTGCCACTCAAACCATTCAATTCAAACACAGAATGGAAGATCAAATGCAGATTTAAACATTCACCTAGTAATTGTAGGACAAGGAAATAAATGATTGAACAATTAGGTCAAGGTATTTGGTTTCCCCCACCCGCCAAATATATATATATATATATATATATATAATCTAAGAAAGGCATAGAGCTATGACATTGCAAATAAACAGGGCATGTTGGAGACTGTGCCCTCACTAACGATTAATTTCGTGAAAACCTTAGAACCCTGATCCCCAATAGACAAATGCACTAAATAACAAAACGATTAAAGACACAGAAACAATCTTTTGAACCTACCATAAAGCAGAATACCTCCATTACTTCAATTCCAAACAGACTAACAATAAAAAAGCGAAAGTTGAACGCCTCTATGAAGAGCAATTACACCTACTGTCAATGTAACAAAGCGGAAGATAAACAATAATATTCAACATATAAATGCTTTGAGAGAGAGAAAGAGAACTACATATATTGGTTCTGCGACATTCAACAGGCGGAAGACAGAAACTTCTCTGAGAGACACGGAGAGACAGAGAAAGAGAGGAGAGAGAAAGTGGTTTATACGAGCGAGGAAAGGGGAAGCAGAAGTAGTGACACGTCCGTCGGCATGAGCGACACGTTGGAGGAGGAGTGTGAGCGTGAATCGTGACTTACGAAGTAGAGATGAGAGTGATATATATGTGTGTGTGTGTGTGTGTGTGTGTGTGATTATATATATACACACACAAATAGATATACTCCGTAGTATATAATACGGAGTATATATTATATGTACATGTATTTACGTGTATTCACATTTTGGCGCCAAGAGTGTGCACTGCACGGATTGACAACTGACGCGTGTTCAATTCGAAACTGGTCTCAATTAAGAACAGAAGTGTAGAACTATTGCTTCCTGTTTTTCTACCGTCAATTCTTAAAGGTATTTTCTCTTCCCGGATTTGACAAGAATCGCCTAACTACTCACCAATGAATAGATTATAGAAGAATTACAAGGAATAACATTAAGACGATCTCAAAGAGAAAGGAGATCTGCTATTCCGGATGACTATGTGAAGATTGAATCTTTGAAACAAAACAAGAATTTGAATTTAAAATTATTCGTGCTACCTAGTAGTCGCGAAGAGTGTTTTAATGAGTATATGTTGAATCTTTAAATGAAAGTACCTCAATCCACTTCCTTCTTGTTCCATTGTGAGTTATATCTCCTTTGTGTGATAAACATGCTTAAATTGAGAGTTAATTATTTCAATGTTGTGTAATTGATGTCTAGAGAAATTCATGATTTTGATTATGATTTGTTTTATGTGAAAAGCATGTTGTGGTGATAGTTTTGTTGTGTTTCAAGTTGACATGATTATTGCCTTGTTACCAAACTCATTCGACTCTGTTAGAGTGAACTAAATAAGGAATCAGTTTGAGTTCACACTCGCTGATATTCTTATAGAATTGGTAACAGATGAAGGGATAATCAAGAGTATGGGCGTTCCTATCCATACCAACAACAACCAAATCAATCACTATGACTGATCTCCAAAACAACCATCATCATCATCGATCAAAAGGACAACACCTATCAAAACAAAACCAACATTGATTCCATCCGGACCTTGTCTCACCCCAATCATTTTTCAAGTACAAAGGTCCAAGTGGAAGAGTTTGTGTGCTGATCCGTTTTGATATTTGGAGCTTAAACCATGTCTTTTAGGTTGAAAGCTATTTTGTGAGAATGATCAATTGAAATCATTAATCCATACAAATCATGTAAAAATCACAAGATCTATATTTATTCATGGTCAAAACATCAATTACAACTAAAATCCCCAAAAATATACAAAAGACCAAGTTTAGGAAGCAAGCCTAGGGGTTATCTCTAGCCCCAAGAGTAGGATCTAACCACTCATAGTAGTGGCCATGGAATCCTTAAGGGTTGGCATCATTACCTTCTGTAATGACCTTCATTTTCTGACATGGCTGTCTCCTTGACAGGCCATTACCTTTTATTATTAGTTTTTTTAATAAAAGCTAATATAATTTGAAAAATTATTAAAATATAAAAATATTTAAAGTAAAAGTACTATTTATTAATATAATTTTACTTTTCAATTATAAGAAAGTAATTCTTCTTCTAAGTTTGTTTCGATTTAAAATATTTTTTTCTGGTAAAATATATTTTTTATTTTTATTTTTTGATGTTTGGTAAAGGTCTAAGTTGAGGTTGAAATCGAGTCTATCGGGTAGAACATTTAAAATAACTTACCGAATATTGATAAATAAATTATTTTTGTTAGGTTTTTTTTTTTTTTTTTTTAAATATTTTACAACAACTAAACACCAAAAAATATTTTAAAAATTATTTTACGTTTAAACAAATGAAGCCTAATATGAAAAAAAGAGAAAATGAGGATTTGTTACTTTCTTTACTTTCTACATTGTAGATAGGAAGTAAAATCTGTCAGTGTAACCCTTTTCTTCTGCTTATCCATCATCCTCATTTTACTTTCTGTTTCACCCTAAGAATCAGAATCATTATTTTATTTTTGTAGAAAGTAAAAGTAGGAATTTGTTCCTGTTAGTGAATAGGTCTTTGGTGTTTTGAATCAACAACTATCCGTGATATATATATATATATATATATATATATATATATATATATTCAATAGTCTACGTTACGATTAGCAAGTCGCATCATTGATATAATTTATTTTTTTGGTATTTGGTTGTCGTAAGGTGTTTTTACAAAAAAAAATAAATAAAGTTTTGAAAAATATTTACAGTTTAGTTTACTTTTTGCATGCACCGCTTTATAGTTTACAAAATAAACAAATAAAATTACACCATTTTGAATTTTGGTGAAAAAGTTATACAAATTGTCAATAATATTTAATAAAAAAAACATCCATTTTCCTTATCGCAAATTTTGTTGGGCAGGTTGATGACTGGACCTTCTAATGTAGGCTCACTATATTGGGATACTGGACCTATTATTTTAGGCCCAACTCTGCATCCATACTGACGATGTTAAACCAACCTCTAGGCATGAAATCAATCCAAGTGACCCATAAAGACTGGCTCGTGGACCGTAAAACCCACTTTTGAAGGGCCATGGGTATTCACAGGCCCAAACCCGGGATGATCAGAATGGTTGCTTATCTACTACTTATCTCAAAATGCAGCCTCTATTTGCATGACAAGTACTGAAAGGTTATAAATTCCCTAAAGAGCCGGTGAAACTGTGAAGGCAAATATATCTGAACGTAACTTAGAAAAATGGACTGAAGCATGAACAAGAAGGAGAGAGGAATATACATACACACCGAGAATTTAATAATACTTGGATTTAATTTGTCCCGACTATATATGCAGATTGTAGGAGAAAATATATTGATAAAAGGAAAATGATTATTAGGCCGAAGTAAGTGTCTAATATACTTATTGAACCGAAAAGATTATGGCTGATCACTCGAAGTGAGGACCATGTTTGGGTTTCACTTTAAATTCTCCAATGTACTTCTAGTGAGTAAGGCTAAAGTGATGCAATAAAGTGATTAATTGCTCGTACTCAAACCTACCACTTGTAGCTGGCCTCATCTTAATTTAACCATTAACAAATAGTAGAAAAACACGAGCACTTTTTTAGACTCATGCTTCAACATGAGCCTAAACAAACAAAGTTTTTCTTTTTCTAAAGAAGAAAAAGCTATGAAATTAATTATAAACACCCTTAGTTTTTAGCTGACAAAGGGAATAAAGTGGAGTTGATTTGACAAGTTAATGATTTAATTTCCCGTGTCTTATAAGAATCTAATTCCATGCTGTAAAGTGGAAATCAAAGAGAGCAAGGTTTTAGATACTTGGTGGGATACTACAACACGCTCACAATTAAAGTATGCTAAACAATTTCATTTTTATTTACCAAAAAAAAAAAAAAAGGTATTCTAAGAAATATTTATGGCATTAAAAGACACTTGAAAGGACACAATAGGCTATAATCTATTGCTATGTTGTTGGTGCCAATATATATGATCTGTTAAACGAATCACATGGTAACTGATCATGCAATGTTCCTGGGTTGGGATTGGTCATGCGTAGAAACGTGGATTTCCAACCAAATACCTAACTAATGTTTAGCCTAGGGTTTTAGCTAGGGTTAGGATTTCCTTAAACAAAATAGAGCTTTAATCGATGTTGACTGAACAAGTATATTCAAAGCCAATTAAGCAGTCTTTTTATACGTGTTATAGTGGATAAAGTATCTAAAAGTAAAGGGAATTAGATCAGTACGTGCCTTTTACACACGAGGACTCTCTCTCTCTCTCTCTCTTTATATATATATATATATATATATATATATTCATATATCTATGCATCACACACGTATAGAAGGTGGAGTTAGGAATCATCATTTCGGGTACTTGAATCGTTATGGTCATGTGAAAGCTAGAAGTCCATCCATCAGTGGTGGAGCTGCAGGTTTCTTTATCATTATCAAATTTTCCCTGTTTAAGTGAGAAAAGTTGAATTGTGTATTAGCCCAGATTAGTAGAGACCACATGGGATGAAATTGTATCCACATATAGGCCCTAGCTAGGGTAGGCATATCTGTTTCAATTTTTTACCATTACTTAGTTAATATAATTATTAAAGATTTAAAGGGAATGAGTACTTTTGAAAAAGTTCAGAAGGGAGATGAGTTTTTCTAAATAGCCTTCTAAAGCCACATACCTGCTTGTAACTTTCAAATCTTTGTCATTATCAATGGATATTTGGTAGTTCAGATGGGACGAGAGGTTGAGTTTTAGAGTCGCGCTAGTGACAATATATATTAGGGATGTGGTGTGACTCCACTTATAATTCTATTTGATCAATCGACTACATTCTAAGAGTTCATTCTTTATATATAGCATGATTTAATTTCAATTAGTTACACTTATGTGAGTTGAGAGGGTGGGCCCATCATTGATGTCAGCATCACCACTAATATAAGTTAGTGTTCTAAGGGTCACAATAGGCTTTAGTGCCATATCATACTAGTGGGAATATATCCCTATCACTGCTCTCTTCAATTCTCTTCTGAATGGCAGTTCGTAGAAGAGGTAATGAAAATTGCCATTTTTAGGAGAACCTAATCTTTTAGTACAATAGTGTATTAGGTAAATGTGGTAATATATAAGCCAGTGTAAAGTTGTTGGGCCTCTTATCATTTGCAATATTAATAACATGGAGCTAGGAGTTTCTCTCCATGGTTTAAAGTGACACTAGAGAATATCAAATGTGCAAAAGATTTAACTTTACATATGCATCTTACAGAACTTAGTACTTAGATTTGTGTAAAATAAAAAAATAAATAAAGTAGAAAAGTTTATGATAACAAATCCCTAATTAGCTTAGTGGAAGAAAGCATTTTCCATATATAATTTAGATGCACAACTTATAGCATACTTGAGTCACACAACCCCTAATAAACAAAACAGAAATGCAAAGTAATATGTGCTTGCGATGTCTAATCAAGCCACATGCTGTTTCTTTCAAGTCCTATAAAAATTTCAATGGGTGGCTGTGAAAGAAGTACTACTATTTGAATTGGGATGAGTCAAGAAATCCCTCCGATCCTTACACTAAATGAAAAATAT